CAGGATTTATTGAAGGAGAGAGCAATAGGATATCATTAAACAATTCACCATTAAACAAAAGACTTTATTCGCCGGCTTCGCCGGCCACTGATCCTTCCGTACGTTATCGATACAAAAGAAGAAATCCTTTCGCCGAGTATGTACTCTATATGTATCTAATGTTTTTTAACGTTAAGCATCAATAAGAAACGTTTTTCCCACATTTTCAAAAAATTTTTAATTTTTACAGAAATAATAAAAAAATTTTTTTAATTTTATTTGTGTCTTAATTTTTTTCATATATTTTTCTTTAGTATAATGTTGTTCAAATGTTTTTTTAAGAATTTAATGTAATAAAAGTTACATAATTATAAATTTAATTAATAAAAATGATTTAGCATAAGAATTTTTTTAAAATATTATATTTTACTATATTTATGATATTGATATTATGATATATTGATATTTATATATCAATATATACTATATCAATTTACTATGTCATTGTGATTAATTAAATACTATATTTGTGATATTTTATTGTAACATTTTATTGTAACATTGCAGAAAATATATTAACTATTGCATTTATATGAATATATATATATATATATATATATATATATATATATATATATATATATATTTTCATGAATAAAAGAAAAAAAATGTTTTTTCCTTTATCCGCGAAAAAAATTTGCTTTTTTCTCGGAGTTAAGAAAATAATGCATTTATATATATACAGGGTGTCATGTAACTGGTGGTACACTGGCGGGAAGATGGCGATTTTACATGAAAAACTGAATCAAAAATATAGAATAAAATTTTTTTATACGAGGTTTTGTTTCCAAGAAAAATGACTTTGAAAGTTTATCGAGTACGCTTGATCAAATCTTAACTCAACGGATTTCACTGTAGATTATCTCTATTCATGTTCGTAAACACTAAATGGATCGAATGACGAGGGCACAGAATATGACAAAGTATATCGGTATGAAAAAAAAGAAGAAAAAAAAAAATAGTAGCAAAATAAGAACGGATTGATTGAAAAATCACAGTTCGTCTTCGAAGCAACGACTATATTTCAAGTTTTTCGTATACACTAGCGTCAGAAGTGGCCCGTACAAGGCCTGTCGAGGTACATAATAAACACATCCGAATAGCTCGACCGATCCGCAACAACTCTCCGATAATCAGTTATATCGTGAGTTATATCGATGACTCTTATCATACGCAACAGATCGTTATTGAGAGCCGTAGACGACCGAGTCGACTACAAATACATAAATACATATCAGTATACATATCGGTCTTTATAATAATTAACTGCGGCCGAAGCATTGCCGTTACATGCACCTAACGCACGAATCATGTCCGTATACTTTCGATTGCTATATGTAGTCATATCGGCAGTATAATAGAAACTAAGAACTCAATTCGATAAGTGTAAGAGAAGAGTACGAATGATAACAAAAAAAAAAAAAAAATAACATCGACGGTATTTACAAACATCAAGATAATCTACAGTAAAATCTGTTGAGTTGAGACTTGATCAAGTACACGCGTACTCGATAAACTTTCTAAGTCATTTTTCTCGGAAACAAAACCTCGTGCGAAAAAATTTTATTCTATATTTTCGATTCAGTTTTTCAGGTAGAATCACCACCTTCTCGCTTGTACCACCAGTTACATGACATCCTGTGTATATATGTATATGTGTACCAAGCAGCACAAATGTCTTTTAGATATCTAAAAGACATTTGTGCAAATAATACATTTATATATAAATGTATTATTTTATTAATTCTGTGAGAAAAAATAATTTTTTTTTGTCGCGTGGATAAAAGAAAAAAAAAAACGTTTTTTTGATCGTTTCTTAAACATTTTTTGTCGGAAAAATAACGTTTCTCTTAATGTTTTTCGGATTGACATTTTAACCAATGAGAAACGTTTCGAAGAAATATTTGTGAAACGTTTCTGAAACGAACATGTGCTATCTGGGAAAGATCAGACATTTTCAACGATGTCGAGTACTTTCTTTAATCGACGAGATAAATCGAAAACATTGAAATGCATCAAGATCATTACTGAAAAAATCCTTTTCACGCGACCAATTACATGACAAGGATTTCAGTAGTTTTCGCAGTCAATTTTTCTTCATACGAGCAATATTGATTCACGAATGATTTGAGAAAAAGCCGGGATCACCGACCATACACATAAACGGAATATCACGTCCAAGAGCAGATTTCGGTCGAAAGAGCTCTTGCCAGTGATATTAGTCCGCAAGGGAATACGAGGAAACTCCAAGACGCGCCAGGATCGCTGACCAGCCGCGAGACGAAATTATAGATCGCCGCGTCCTGGCAACGGTGTGCAAGACATAACTCTCGGAGATGATTCACGGGTGGGTGGACGGACGCCGGACCGACTTCTCGCGCTCGTCGCCGGCGAGCGAACTAGGGGACGGCGGGCATCGCTGTCGGGGCGCTAATGCAATAACGCGCGGCTACGCGGATAAATCAAGCCGGGCGAACCGCTCGAGTAGCGCCGCGCTGTGCCAGTGCCACGCCGCGTAATCGCGTTACCCCGGTCGTCCCCGGGGCGCCGTTATTGTCCCGGAACCCCTCCTCGTCCTCAGCGGCGAGGATGAGGTACACCAAAAAGCGGACGTTCTTCGAGCGCGATAATTCGTTCAACCCGCTCCATGCAAATCGCTACCGTTTAAAGTGCGTGTCTTACTTTAGCGTGATTGATACATCAAATGTTTGGCAGTCTTGGCAAAATTAAGAGATTTTTGTAATGTCGTAACGCTATATAGCGTTCACTGTGTCTGAAGTATATTATTGCAAAAAATGATTCAATTGCGACGTCTTCTGCCGCATTTTCATAGATAAATCAGGCATGCATCTCGGGGGAGAGTTGTAATTGCGTTAACACGGATTTATTCCGACCGTCCCTGGGGCGTCGTTATCGTCCCATCCGCGTGCATCGATGGATCGAAGCGACTCTGCGTAACTGTGATTTGATTAGCAGTTTTAATTAAAAAGAACGCCTATGTACAGCGACTGCTTTAACGTACACGATCCACATACTTTTTACGCGCAAAAGAAAAAGCCCGTCGTAATTCGGTCGCTTTACGACCGCAGGATTGAGTCTGCAACGATGACTTACGATCTCGTAAATCAATAACTAATCTCGTAGTTAAACTTTTTAATAATCTAACGTGTGATTCTTCAGAGACAAACAATAATAAGAATTAGAAGCGCGGTTGTTAAAGCATAAGAAGAAATCTCTATTAACTATTAATATACAAAAATAATAAAAAATATGTTTTGGTCACAATTTCAAGCTCTCTTCAGTTTGAATTTTCTAGTAATATATATGTTGGAAATATAGTTTTTTAATTGTATCGACATGTTGAAATAATTTTTATTTATAAAGATAGATGGTGTAAAAAAATAACTAAAATTAGTTTAATCAATTATTTTTGTTTATCTTTTCTTAACAATACTACTTTCTTATGTTTTCTTATACGACAATACACGATTGTAATCAAGATATCTTTTCACAAATAAAATATCTTTATAAAAACGCATAAATTTCAATAATATAAAGTATTAGACTTTTTATCAAATTAGAATTATTTAAATTTTATTAATAATTATAATTTAATCGTATAAAACACGTTAAAATTGAATGTATTTAGAGCAAAATACACATCCATTTTTAAAAAAGGCATGAAAAATCGATACTCGAATGTATCGAAATCTCGAAAGTTTCGAAAGTATTGTTGCATCTTTTCCGCGACGCTGATTGATTATCTCGATTATTCTGACAGTTTGATAGTTTGACAGCGAAGGTTATTATTATTATAATAATATTAAACGGTTATTAAATTATTATAATAAGTGCGCGCGCCTGTATTGTTCTAGTCTTATAAAAAGTCTGATTTAAAAAATGCCTTTGAAACTAATGTCGTGAGGAAATCGAGACTACTAATTTATTAAATCGTCTCACCACCGAAGAGATAAATTGATTGAAGTGATTTGTTTATGTAAAAACACTGGCGACAAATCGACTAATCGATAGACGCGCCGATTCAGCCACTCGTGTAATCAATTTAGCGATTTGCGCTAAATTGTCACCTATTACTCCTAGTAAAGTAACGAAAACGAGATCGTCCGTTTTCCCTCAGTTCTCGTAACGAGTCAAAATTTTTGCGATTGATCAGTGATTTTGATGTTTTCGATTTATCTCGTCGATTAATACCGTCGGCAAAAAGCGACTGAAAAATTATTCTCGATGGCAACGCAAGATTCTCTTTATCGTTGATCAGTGACTTTGACACATCTTTTCAAACTTTCTAAAATTCTCTCACTAATGAACACCTTTGAGAAACCTCGTGAGACTTAAATGTATCTTGACACACGTGAGCATACGCAGAGTTGATCTCAGCTCCGAACAAACCCCTGACACGAGGAGAGAGCTGATTCAAGAATCGATGGCAATAAACTTTACATTACATTAATGTCAGCTTCTCTAAATATCGGTGCTGATTAAAGCCTCCGATCGCGGTTTGGATCACAGTTCTTCGACACGGAGCGCACTAATCGAGATACAAGCAAGATTCTCGATCCTGTATACATTATGTATGTTACACGTTTTCCACCATTTCGTACTTTATACACAGTGTGTCCTTTGTACTTCTCGGACGCTTCGATACGTCGCGGATGAAGAAATACGATGCCTTTAATACTTTGCGCGCGAACGAATTTGTGCGCAAAATAATGCACTTTGCATATTTAATTGACATTTTCAGGATTGGGCCAAAATTGAACAAATGCAAAAACATGATTATCTATTTTTGAAATATGAGAATTAAAGTTCTCGACTTATAAAAGATGAAAATTTGCCTTCACTCGCATGCAAAGTCTTAACGACGAACAATACAAGTGGTCAGTGGATTCGCTTTTGATGCTTTTACATACCTTCTCTATAGAATTAAAGATTGAACTCACCGCGATTACTGTTTCAATCCACTTTCAATCCTTTCTTCACACAGCTCTGAATCGCAAATAGCAAAGTCCTTTCTGATCCCGATCGTCCTCCTTCATCCTCGTCGAATTTTTGTCGTCCAAGACGCACTGTAGGTCTTACGCGGGCCTATCGAGCCCCAAGGCCTCCTGGTGCCGCCTCGCTTTCAGCCTGAGGTCGGCGATGCTGCTGTTTTCGAGCGGGCCGCCGCAGCGGCTAGCGACGCTGCCAGACTCAGCGGATGGGGAGGATGACCGGCCGACGGCGCCGGAGGCGGTGGTGGCGGTAGACAAAACAGACCGCCGGCCGCCGCATAGTGCAGCACCGCCGGGTCAAAGGCCGAGCCCACCGTGACACTGGCGCCTGTTCCCTGAATCGGCGGCGGGTGCAACCTGAGCGCCGGCAGGTAAGGTGCCACTCGACAGGGTTCTAACGTCGTCGGTGGACTACGCGGCGCCAGCACCATGCTTCCGGCGACACCTGCGAAGAAACTTAACAGGTTAGTTATCTGCCCTTAATAGCCTCAAAATATAAAAACAAATTCAGTTAATAATTTGTTTTATTTAACACCAAAAATTTTAATAAGTTTTTAGCAACTTGAGTTTATTCTAAAATATTACTGAACGTGTATCCACAACTACGTAAGATTGTTCAACAATTGATATTTCTCTAGTATATCGCTTTAATTGAATGACTTTTGAAAACTATGTAAAATTGTGAATGGCAATTTGATTATTTTTCACATTATATGTTGATTTGAATGAATTATAGATTAGATTGATTTAGGTTTAAGAATAAAAAATAAAATGACACTTTTTCCATTACAGATTCCATTTGTAATAATGTTACCTTTGTGCAGCTGGCTCTCATGCTTACGACACTTGGCGCGTCGGTTTTGGAACCAGACCTGCACCCGCGCCTCACTGAGACCAAGTCGCTGGCTCAACTCCTCCCTCATAAATGCGTCGGGATAATGTGTCTCGTCAAAGAGTCTCTCCAGCTCGGCCAACTGCTCAATAGTGAAATTTGTCCGCGATCTCCTTTGCTTGCCGTTGCCGTTTCCGTTACTCCGACAACTGGATCCTGCAAGTTAATCGTTGCTGAAGTAAATGTGCAAAAGTATCATGAAAAATGTATTGAAATACAATGAATGCTTTTCTGATTACAATTAGAAACAACAACACAGTGAAATGTGCAGAGTTCATAGATTGGGAATATTTTTGACGAAGCAGAAATCCGTGAGTCATCATCGAAATGTGGTGCGAGAAACGAAGTTTTCGTCGCGCGATGATTAATTCACCGGAATAAACGCGTGCTGCGAGCCAGAACGACCAAGGTCGGAGTGACGTGCTAGCAAATTGATCCCCGCGAGTCGTTCACGGACCATTTCTTCCAGTCTGGGCGCCATCAACATATATCTCGCCACCTTATGAGAATCTTATTCAAATCGAGATGCCGGACGGCGTCCATAATTGGATGACATTAGACGATCGTATCTCGCGCGCGAGAGAAACGCAGCGACGCGTGCAAAACACGAAGATGATTTCTTTCAGCACACAGTAGGCAGCTGTACAGCATTGGGGGGCAACCCGAATTCATCCGCCGCTCGTCGAACACGAGTCTGTTAATCTAAATTTACGTTTGAAATCGCGCAGATTTCTCGCACACACACACACACACACACACACACATTTATTGTATCGAGAGCACATCCTCACGCGTAAGATTCCATCGGACAGATGCAGAAAGGCGGAGAAAGAGGGTGATTAAGGTGAGAGTACGAGTTCCTCTCTTTAGCGAAGGAGGCGGGGATGACTAACGACCCGGTATAAGGCTGTGTAGCTCACCACTTTGCTAAATTATATAAATCACATCCCCTTCGTCAAGGGCTCTTACGCGAGACACTTAATCCACCTCTGTCCCTCCCGCACCCCCCTCGTCATTCCTCCCTCGTCCAAGTTTCTTCGCCGCACCTTCCCGTCGGCAACACCTCGAAGAGCCGTAGTACCGTAGTTACTTTACATTAAGCGGCCATTAATTAAATCGTATGGCCGTTAATTATCCGGGCATCTCTCTAACTCGCGGCGATGCTTGCGGTTTCCGAAGAAGTTTTTCGCGTAAGAACGTCTTCCCATCCTTCTTCCAGGATAATTCTATTCTTTCGCTAACCCAAGATTTGTACATGTTTTTACAATGCTGATCATTTTGACGGGATTAAAGTTATGAGCTGAAAGTCAACTATCGTATTTCAGATTGCAATGCAAATTATTAATACAAGGAAATTAATAAGACAAACCAAATGATATGTATTCCTTTCAAAATTATTATCTAAATTTTTTACTAATGTTTAATAATGTTAATAATTTTTGTATTAAGAGCAAAATTATACTGTGTTGAAAAAATGAAGGAAAATGGATGAAATACAGAATCGTCGGATCAGCTTGCGCTTTTTATCGCAAATAGTATATTCTGCGGTATCGCTTTCCGCGGGTAACAGACGACGCGATTTAGTCGAAATGGAAGCAAAACGAAACGCGTTTCGCAGTCTACGTGCGTTTGCGCACCGGCGCGATCTCCATGCGGCATTGCGTACGGCGCTTTAATCAATTAGCGCATATCCGCGTAATCCAATCTGAGCTCTAGGCAGGGTGCGCAGCCCGCATCCATATGTACAACGGCGGTTTAAAACCGCCTCTCTCCCCCTGTCGCCAAAATAACTCGCGCGGTTTCCGACGCCCCTCGCCCGCGCCTGTTAGCATAACCCATGGCGCAACACATACGCACGTTGTCGCAGTCATTAACTCGAACGTGTCAGTCGTTTTATTCCCTTGTGTTCCCATAGAAAGCAGAGGCGAGAATCAGTATCGTTAACATTCCTAGTTGTTCCTCTCATTTTTTTTTATAGAGACATTTTACGTGTCTATCGTCTGAAACGAGAATTGAAAATTGTTATCATTGTGTGGCAATTATTATTTATTTTTGTATATAAAATTGTTACAATTTAATTAATTGCAACAATTCTTGCATTTTTTCTTCTGTATTTATCGTTGAATTTTATATATGTTTTATAAGTTTTAGATTTAAATTTCAGAGCGACCAAAAATCTCTACCTGAATTAGACGAAGAACTGTCACTACTATTGCAATTAATGTATGCTGATCATTAGAGCAAATTTTGCCAACCAGAAAACTACATTTAAATTCCATATTTTCCAAGTCCCATAACACGCTTGCAACAAATTCCCTTATCAGAACCACCTGAATGCATCTCGAGTGTTTTGATCCGAGGTGCGAAATCGTAGCTGCTGGACGTTAACCGATACTTTGTCGAGATCGAGACGGCGCGGGGGGATTCCACGGGGTGAAGAGAGTGGGGGAGGACAGCCGAACCCTGCCGCTAGAAAACCCAAAGCAATCACACTCGGACGCGAGGGGTCACTAATTCGATTACTAAGAGCGCTGCCCTCTTGGCCTGATCCAGTTAAGCCACCCCTGGAGAACTACCCCCTGGACCGACCACCGCCTTGGCTATACTATTTTTCTCCCTCTGAAACGAGCCGAGATATCGCGGCCATTAGACGTATAAAAGCGTCGTCGTATCCCATGCAGCCGCTGCATATGGCGCACGGTCCCGTGAATACGCAAGAAGCGAGGGGGAACTTAAGGTCTGCAATCACTTATCGCTTAATGAAGCAAAGTGGCTCGCGTGCCGGTTGTCGCCGTCGAGAAGTGTAACCCTTTGTCCGCTTAATTCTTTCTGAATCTCGGGATAATCGTACGGTCATTGAACATTTGCAAGAATCTGCAAAAGTGAGATTATTAGATTTAGCTTATTGCGAATTTTTTTTTTCCTCTTCGATTGTCTACTTTAAATCTAATTTACATAAAATTTAAATATTTAACAAAAATCTTGCAAATTTTATACCAACACTTTGTATCCTTATTTGTATGAATATTTTAAGGCCGCAATTTTTATCACTGTTGCAGAACTGTATCGCATTTGGCGAGACTGTAGATGCTAAGGGAACTCTCTCATTTTTCGTAAAGCAGCGGCTGCGCACCCTCCGCTATCATACTTCAGGAAAACTCGCGCCCCAAGTGCCATAAATATACGTACGAGCGCGCGGGCCTTTGACCAGCGGTCAAGCACCAACACTTACGGCAATCGAGGAAAAACACGCGCGACTGGAGACCGATGGGCGCGAACGCCGCGCTAAATCGTCGGAAGAAGCGAAATGTGTTTTGGAGTATCGCATTCGTTACAAGTGGTCGTTTCAGAAAACTGCAAGGCTCTCGTAGTAGACTCTCACATACACAAACGAAAAAGCATTTACGAACTTTTCGCGCGTTTTGCATGCAACAAATGTAAGCAAATTTTGCACAAACATCAATAGCAAATATGCAGATTCAATTAAAGCAATCCATCAATAAGCCAAAGAAATTTATATACATCACCAGTATATTTTTGAGTGTCATCTAATATTAGAATTATAATTTTGTGAAACGGAGCCTTGTATCTTTGCTCCACTTATCAAAAGTCGATATCAGTAAATAAGGTAAACGTATAGTCAGACACGACTGTATCAGCTTTATCTAACATCACTCGCTGCATGTTTCTCATTTTTTATCCTTACCTAAATTTACCGAAGTTTTTAGTTAATAAAATAATTATTTTCAAGTGACACTTGCAATAAGTATTTCAAAATAACAACGTACAGTATGCGCAGCGATATAATTAATGTAACGTAAAAGGATCATCAGTGATCATCGACGCATTAACATTTATCACTTCGTGCCCTTTTCGATACAGCAAATGTCCTACAACCTCTAGCTCTTCACGAATATTTACGATTTTACTTTCGCGGCCGCGATGGCTGCCGGCCCGGCAGATTGCTTTTTGATTTGCGCTTAATCGGAAAAAGTTATGGGCCCTCGAGAGATAGGCGAGCTGCTGCAGCGGCAGCAACAGCAGTAGCAGCAGTGCTCCTCGTCGCTCTCCCTCCCTGCTCTCGTTTGGGGGGCGTACACACAACTAACGCGGCGGGCCGCATATTAAACCATAAATTCATGGCGCCCGTGCTCTGCCCGCTCGACGCTCAAGTTATCGCGTGGGGAAGCATGCGTGGCATTACTTCAACGCTGCACGCTTTTTATAACACGATCGCCGTCGATTCGATCCCGTCCTCCGCTTCGTTCGTTCAATCTCGCTCGTTGCTTGCGCATGCAGCAGCATTCTCGCACCAAGTATGAGCTGATTAATTACCTCATAGCGGCCGAACCGATCTGTTCACTGTACAATTAATTTTCAAGAATTAATTTTAAGACTCGTTTAGAAGTGATATTTAAGGCAGAATGGAAACAATGTTAAGATAAATGGTCGCCTTTCCTTCAAGGAATGAGTTTCAGAGATATTAATAGAATAAATATCGAAGAAATAGTAATCTTATTAATTGAATATCTCATTTTTCTCATTTATGGAAGAAAAACGATAAAAAAATCGTTATTCAGATCTCTCATATAAAACGATATTACATATAATATTTTACAATTCCGCGCAGGAACGCTAGAACATAATAATATACTAAGGAATAATTCTGGAAAATTAATTCTCTTATGAGAGATCGTTCCACTTTCGTTAGAAGTTCCTTCCGTTTATCTGCAGGAGAGGGAGCCGACGTAATTTCATCTTTCAGTGCTCGGCAGAGCCAGCGTTTTATCGAAGATGACTTGGCTCGTGAGCGAAATCACCGATCGGGTCGCCGATCGTTACGTTGCGAACGGTCAGCTATTCCCAATCGCTTGTGAGCTTTATTGGACGACGGTCTGAATTATAAATGAAGATCGGATCCCTCCGGTACTGCGACTTCGATGCCCGGCGCCGGAGGTTCCCTGACCTTCTCATTCCTGCACCCGTTCACGCGGCTATCGTAAACGAGCTAAACCTAAGGATGTCGACCTGCCGAAATTGAAGTTGACATTATCCCGTATTAGGCCAGGGCAGGCACAAAGCAAGACAAAAGTCCAATGACGGATTTTAAGTTCAGTTAAGTAATCTTATGTAATAATTCGTATTTTATTATGTAGTCTAATTAATTTTTCTTAAGACCAAAGTCGCAAATTATATGCAACATTCTCGAAATGAAACTTTTCTCATAAAAGACTAATATTTTAATTTGATTTACTCAATTCATCTAATTTAACTTCCTTTATGATTTAATTCAGAATATTTTTAGCCAAGTGTTATATTTGATAATTATTCTGCGAAAAAAGTCGTTAGTATAAGCAGCTCCGATAAATAATCGCCTTAATTTAAAAAAAATATATGTAACGATAAAAATTATTGCTTTCTCATTGTCACTCACCCTTGGTAGACTCTTCTTGGCTATGGCCACTCGACCTTGAAACCTGCGAGGACACTTTGGCCTGGTCACTGCTGGATATAGTTGTTTTACCGTCACTCGAGCTTTGACTTTTCAATTCGACGCAGTTCTCCGGACTGGCTGATCGATCTCTCGAAATGGGCGGCGGTGAGGGGGTACATCCGAGCAATTTGCGAACTGACAGCTTCAGCTCAGGCGTTTTCAGAGGCGGCAAACTCTCCGCGGTGTCCCGAATGTCCTTGATCTTGGCCGTGACCGAAAGATCCTCCGGTTGCAGCCGGCCTTCTGGCGACGGCGGCTCTTCGATGCTTCCGCTCGTCTCTATGCCGATCGCAGCCTCGTGCGCGCCTTCATCTAAACAGGATTTCGCTTGTATCGGCTTGATGTATGGGACCATCTTGATCACATGTTAAATTCGCGACGGAGGCGTCGATGATTAGGTCGATTCGTAAGTGAATTGTACTTTGAACAATGACGAGCATTTACGCATTTTCGAATGCAATTTTCACTATCGCGATTATAAACAGAGATCATGTGTGATAATGCAAACAAGGATAAATCAAATTGAATTGACTATATTTATTAGGGTAAATCTCTAAAACATAAATTTCTTGAGCAAATAAAAATATATGTAAGTATAAAAAGTATTATATAAAAAAATGAGATTACATAATATATTTATGAAGCAATAATGATTGTGGATAAGAAGTAGAATGTATATTAGATAAAAGAAAAAAGCAAACAATTTAACAATCATGTTTACAATTTTTACAATGTAATTTCTCGTAATAATTTCTCTGAATCAGCATGATTGTATAATTCAAATAATTGTTATGCATCTTGTAAATAAAAGAAAAATGTAAGTATAAGATTTTACATAACTTCTACGATTAATTTCTTCTTGACGGGACCCAGTTAATGTTAATCCATCATAATTTGTTGTTATTAATCACTAACAAACTCGCACAGACACATACGAATCGACCTGACCACGTGCAACAAATTTCCGCTTTTAGTAAAGAACTGTACACTGCATTGATCGATTTAATTTTCTCAATTACTTTTCGGTCAAACCGATTGGCACGATAACATACACCGTCGTCGGCGTAAAAATGAGAAAAAAAAAAAAAAAAAAATTGCACGTACGTCGATCACCGTCGTCCACAGCGTGATCGCCGATAAGATGCGCGACACTGAGCGTAATCCTGCCCCCGGCAGCCGCTCTGCAACCGGCCTCGACGCTCGCTGCTGCCGCGTTGTCAAAGCTCTTGGAGACGAACTGTGCGAGCTGCTCCATCCTCGCGATTATCGGGGCGACTCTCGCGCGCGACGTCGCGCCTCGACACCGACGGCTCTCGGCCGCCGCCGTCGCGAGGAGAACCGTCGGCCGGGGGACACGTCGACGGGAGGCACATCACGACGTCGGCGTCGCGACGCCACGCGTCGCCCAGGGCGCCATTCGACCGCCGGCCAATCCGCACGCGAATGGGCGTGATAGAAACGCCCCGGTGGCGCAGCTCGCCAGCTTCTCCCTCCTTTTCGTTCCACCCAAGTCACGACCCAGACTCGCAACCCCTCGTTCCCTTCCGGGAGGCAGGTACACTCCACCCCTAAACCGACGCTCATTAGCATTTGCGCCCGCTTTTCCGCCCGCCGCAGGAACGCTCGCGGGGAAACCACCCCTCGCCGCTGGCCAGGATGCCGTCCGACGACCATCCTACCACTCTCGCGTGCAGCCGCCAGGGCCGCTATGTTTACCTGGAGGCAGAAAGAGGCCGCCGCGGGTGCGCGGTAATTAATCCGATGCTCTCCGCGGTCGAAGCTTTTCCTTTTTGTCCGGCCTCGTTATCGGTCATCGGATAGTCGATCTTCTGCGCGAGACCTGGGAAGGGAGAGTTATTTTATTAGTAAAATCGGGATTTTTCTAACGACATGTCATGTTTCGCCTCGGCAGATCACAAATGATTGTGCACACAAATTGCAATTAATTGTAAAATTCTAGTTTGCAGATCGTTATTTGCTTATTTCACTCTTTCAGATAATCCTCATTGTTTAAAAAGTTTAGTTTTAAGTACTAGCCATGTTTTCTTTTAGACATTTAAAAAATCTAATTTAACTTAACTTTTAAATATAGTTAAATGTGTACATAAAACTTACTGTACATCAAAATATTAAAATATAAAAATAAGAATATAGAATTAGGATCTTTAGAAAAAAATAAGTTTGGAAAATATTACAATGTAGATTTACCGATGTAGAAACCAGCCCTGCATGTTTCTCGCGACAAATGCATTTCTTCTGTCATGCTGTCTCATTCTCTCAGCTTTTATATATTTCTACATTTCAATATCCACTTCTCCTTTCACCAGTATCGTTTTTCCTCCTTCCTTTTCTCTTTATCTCTCCTTCCTCGACGATACGTAAGTGAACTCTCAGGGCCGTGAAGGTGATATACGTCAGCTCGACGTAAATTCAATTTCGTTCCTGCCGATCTCGATTTTTCGGGCGCGATTTATTGTGAAGAACGTCGCGTTTGTTGTCTTGCAGAGGGAAATGTTGATTCTTGTCCTTGCGATGCAGTATTGCTTCAAATCTTCATCGCTTAGTACTTATTAAATACACAGAACTTATCCTCGTGAACGAATGTCTTGTCCCGCAAATCCTTCTTCGCGCCAGGTGAATGCGACCCTGAAACATGCGCCCCATGTTTGTCACCGCCAAACTCGGCAATATTTAAATGGGATTGCGTTCGGGGAATGTAATTGCTCGGGCTGCTAGCGGACTCCGCATTGTCGGCCCGTTTTACGGGATATGGACAGATGGGAGAAGGAAAAGATACAGTCCGCTCGAGAAGCGCGAATAAATATAAACGCATTCGAAACACAAAATTTTGAACTTGAAACATTGCTATTATTTCAATTCCTGACTTTCTTTACAGAAAAATTTTGTTCTTACTTTTATCTAGAGGATTAAAAAGAATGTATCTTAGAGAAGTATATTTTTATTAATATATCAAATATTAAAGAAAAACCGCCCAGATAAATAAAATAAAAATTTGATAAAAATATAGTGTTTCCTTGTTAAGGAAAACTGAATTCCAAATTTATTAAAGAAATGTGTCAAAGTCATTATTGAGCTATCAAATTGATCGACTATCAAAATCTTCTATATAGTAATCTATGATAATTAGAAGTTAATAACAAATGTCGAACAGCGGGATAATGGATACTAATGAAAAAGTTCGAGCATTACTCGAAATATTCGCACCTCTCAATTTCTGGGAGATGAGATGCCAGCAATGGGAATGAACGAGGAGATTCCCGTGCAAACGATGAGAGAAACATCCTCTCCTCGTTCCTGTCACAAAGAGAAAGAGAGAGAGGATAGCGCATTGACAAGGACGAGGGTGGACGAGACGGAAGAGGGGACAAAATACCGGGGGTGCGGCCTATAACGCAGGCAGACGGAGCCAATCAGGGCGCAATGCGATTATCTTAACGAGAAATCCGATTACTTATTCATTCGCCTAACTCGAAATCAGTTTAACTAATCGTTTAATTCGGTCGCTCGCTACCAGCCCCTCCTGTTGGCTCCAGCCTTCGGATCTCTCCGGTCTCGGAGAAGAGGAGAGTAGACGCCGCGCTATGCTTGACGACGAACGGGGTGTGCGCGACGGAGGGGTTACAGTGTCCTTTCAGGGCCGTAACGGAATTCCGTATGCGTAAATTTTCGCATCATAAAATCTGAGATAATCACATTTCACAAGAAACATGTCCGAGGTTCTTAACAGGAGTTTCAACCCAATAACGATAATTATGTATAATTAATAATTCAAAATTTGATCATAATTAAGGTAATATTTATAGTTTAGAGAGATTAATGAGTTAATCAATTGTGCCATAACAACTTTTCCACATTTCTCACCTCGCAAATTTGATGCAAATTAAAAGAGCATTTCTGCCGGTCAGTTAATTACGTTGATTTAAAAACGCTTTCCTCAATCACCTTTTTAAGAGACGCTTTATCGACTTACCAACTCGTCGGCTTCCGGACTTCCATTCCAACCCTTAATCCGCCTCTGAATCCCAGTCCACCCCTCGCTGGCATACATCGCCAGACCACGCACACGCGTGCCTGAGCATTCGCACGCGTATAACGTTCGAGCCAAACGCCCGGGAGAGGGGTGACGTAGAGCGAAGGAGAGGGCTCATTCAATTCAATTACGTAATGAATTGTCGTGTCTTGAGTAAACACCCTTCCTCGCCACGACTTGCTGGTGGAAAATCCAGGGCGGTATCCACTGGCACCCTTCTCTGTCTCCCTGATTTTCAGTGGAAGGGGCAGAGGATGGTGGTTTAGGTGAACCGAATCAATCTGGCGCCGGCTATACAAAATCTCCCACGATGCATTCTCCACGTATGTGTGTGTACATGCAAACCCTACTTTCTATATGCATCAGTGGTTCTTTGCAGACAAAAGTGTAAACATGTGCCTGTAATATAAACATGTATGTTCTAATATGTGATTATGCAAACAGAATTCTTTCAATAGACAAATCTTCAGAATATAAATTTTATTTTCTGATTTAATTTATTTTTGCGTAAATAAACTCCTGTGAACTTGGTAAGTTACTAATTGCAAAGGATTGAAATTAGGGTTGCACTTTTGTAAACTTAATTAATTGTAAATCTTAGTTGTAAACCTAAATATACAATGTTTATACTATTACAAATTTGTTTTTGTAAAAAAGCAAATTTTAGCCTGTGCCTGTTATTTATTATAATTTAGCTATTCCCCAATATTATATGGATAGGTCTTGACGGCACGTTAATACAAAAAAAAAAAAAAAAATTTATAATTTGAGCAATTACCAAAAAACTGAAGATCTCTCTGGATTCATCAAAATCCTAGTCACAATTTTATATATTCAACATGGATCTGAATAATTCTGATGCCACTTAATGTATCTCATTATTAATTTAGATCAAAAAGCCTGATCTATGCAATGGCACATGGTTATCTCTCATCTCTCGTCTCTCGTTTGCGGTTGGAATATCAGTAAGTCCAATGTTCTCTTTGAATTAACGGGGCCGCTGCGACTATCGGAGCTTACTTACAGAGTTTACACTGCCATCGAAAACGGTCGTCGATCAAAGCAACCAAATCGGTGTTAATGACGATCCAGTTAATTACCGGAGACATGGCCGCTTCAATACTTCAATAGCTGCAATTTCACGCCTAATTTACTCGACCGCAAAATTACATATGCTAATTTCTATATTTACCAGAGATCTCAAACGTAATAAAAAAAATAATTATTAATTGTCATGAATGTTCACGAGATTTCATAATTGCCTGCAACGACCAATTTGAACAAAGAACTTTCTGGAAGAATGCGCAAAGATGGCCGATACCGATTTAGAATTTGGCAAGACGAGTTAGAAAATGCAGAGAGTAATAATGAAACACTATATCTCATAATCGGATTACGCCCGCTCAAATTTTCATCTTAACGCTTTCATCTTAACGCCGGAAATATATGAGATATAGATTCGAATAATTAAATGACGCTTTGTGATTAGAAATCCGTAATTACTTTCAATTAGATTAATAATAGCCTATAATTATACTTACAATCACGAATCCAAGTTGAATATGCTAATAGCGCCACATAGTATTATCTTTTCGTAGCTGATTACTGCAGACGTATTTCCCTCTGGCGAATTTTTGGGAAGACTCTTCGTGCATTTTTTAGCATCACTTGATAAGTTGCGAATAAATACAATTTCCTATATTATCTACATTTTATCCTGTTTTACTCATTAATCTCTATATTTGAATGAAAAGTTCATCTTACTTCCTGGCGCTGAACTGTCATTTGTTATAATAATCACTTATGACAACACGCACTCTGGCATGATGCACGAATATCTAGATTGCATGTCAGATGCATAGTCAGATGTATGTAATATGTCGGATGACAACGCATAATGTGGACCTTACATTAGAGGCTTCTCCCTGTCAATTCACAAAATGCGTTACCAGACTCCATAGTGCGACGTACTTATGTCGTTCTTTGAAATGACTCTGTGTATTTGTTTTTGTCTGAACATTGTATAAATATTATGTATGAATACTATAATATGTAAGCGTGAAATATCTGATTATATTCTCAACAGTATTATTTTGAAACTTGAGTATATTTTTAGTTAGGAAACAATATATATTTTTAATTACATGTTAGAAATATGACTGGACTATTTGCGTTTTGCATAATCTTTCTAATTCTGTACTGTTTTTTCACCTGGTAAGTGTTAAAGTTTACTTAAAACATAATAGCGTAAAACAAAATGTTTTACAATTGTCCATTTAATTCAAGGGTGATACCAAGGCTGTTAGCATGGCTAGTGAAACGTCGTTACAAGATTCACTTGCGTGTAGGCCATATCTCACTACCATATTTTATTTTACGTGATGTTAATGTAACTAAAAATGGATTCACATTGGTGAGTTTTCTATATTGTTACATAAATGCTAAAATACACAAAGGTATTTAAATATTACAAAAATTATATTTTCAGCAAGTTGAAGAGGTGAGTGTACGCAGCAGCTTGTTCAGTAGCGATGTAGCAAAACTATTGGCTGTTGTCATGAGGGATGTCAGAATAAATAAGGATGTCCCAGTTGATTCAGCATGCAAGATAGAACAGTCCAATGAACTGTTAGATTTTAGGAATAAAAAGATACCTTCAATAATTATAACATTTGTACAGGTATTTATACAAAGCTAGAGTTTTAAGTCATTGTTTCTCCATTACATCAGTTTTGTGTGAATTACATGTTTGTGTTGACATTTGTGTTCCAGTTTATGGCAGTACACGTAGAGAACATAAGTCTACTTGCTCTTGGCAATGGCTGGTTGGCAAATGGAAGTGCGGAAAGTTTAAGTTTAGATGGTAGCATTGTACATGGTGCACGCACACTCTTAGCATCAGCTTCCATTGTCGGCGGTGCTATGAAACTATTGCAACACGCTTCTGACGCGTGTTTATCACAAATAACATTTGCTGGAACAATAGAAGCCACATTTAAAGCTCAGGGAGAACTTTCAGTTGAGGTATAGTATTTGTTAATACATATATTTTAATTTATGAGAGAAATGGTTTCTTAAAGGTTGCTAAAATTGTAGAAAAATTTTATTTTTTATCTAATAATGGTATATAGTAATTTTTATTAAACAAATCTGATCATCAACCGTTTCTAAAAGGAATCAAGTGGGATCTGATTTATAGACACTGTATATCGGAGTAACGCAAACCGAAGGATCCGGCGGTACAGGCCTCATCCAATTTTTACGAGATAGAAGAACATTAAGTACCACAGATGCATGCAGCAATGTACATAACAGTCCCTCCAATGACTTAATAGCTAGATTGGCACCTATTTTACCCAAGGTGAGTCCTTTTTTCTGCTCTAAATAAATAAATAAAATTATAAAAATAATAGACCAATAATGCTTTCAGGATTTTACATTGAGAATCGGTAATTCATTAATAATCGCTGGCAGGGAGGATAGCAGCATGGTTGGTTTGGAGGGTACTTTAAGAAGTCTTCAAGTTCATGCGAAGTTTCAAGCTGATAGAACACAATTAAATTTTTCTGTAAGCTTAGACGGTCTGTGCATACGCGGAAAGCTGCCAATTTTAACTTTACATTCCCTTTCAATCGATACAAAGGTAAATCATACAGTTTTTGCATTGAACAAATATATGATTAAATTATGCTTATTGTTTCAATTTTGTTTAGATGGAGGACAATGTTTTATTCGTCGCTGTACAACTGAACAATCTTTCGATAATATATGATCATAAAGATTGGGAATCGCTGCTGTATACTAATGAAAATGACATTTCAAAACCTGTTAGCGATATATCACTCAGAGATAAACTACCAAATTTTGAAGTTACGTTGACTACGGAGCTGTATGATTCTTCGTTAAATATAAAATTGCCAGATGTACAAGAAGCTTCTTGCGGTGTCACACACATGAAGTTTTCGTTGAATTCATCCACAAGTACGCTTTGCTCTCTTTACTATAAATTATATATACATTTGTATATTTGTGATAATGCAATATTTACACTTTGACAGACAAAACCGAGAACCTAAATACAGAGCTAGTCGTCGAATCTCTATATTGTGCTTTAAATGGTACCAATGGCAACATTTCTGAGACCTCTCATCAATGGGGCACTCCACTTTCTGTCGGAGTATTGCTAGCGACAACTCGTACCAACGCTATAGGAATCGCAGTTGACGCTCTTATCACAGAATGGAGTTTGGAGCTTGCAAAATTTCTGGAACAAGCTTACAAGTAACGATAAAATTAGATTTTATTATAAAAAGGGAAATGTAGCGCGGATTAAGCAATCTTGAAACTAATTGTAGATGCTACAAAAAGTGTCAGCAGCCTGTGATACGAAAGAAAGATACAATATCGCGCAATTCTATACAATTAAATCTTAAAGTGACGAACTGTAATTTATTCTTTATCGCAGAAAACGAATGTAAGTATTTAATAAAGTATACAACTTCGTTCGTTTAAAGATTTGATTTCTTACAGTGCGTATGTCTGTTTCAGTGTCCATTATGATGCGTTTGGATATAGCAACTTTAGAACAAACCACAAAACGATTTGTGGGCATGGTGGAAGGCATGAGCGCGATAACTCTTAACAAGAATGAGCCGATTATGTGTCAGCACGCGCAGACTCTAACTCATCCGTTTCTAGCAATACGAAAGTGCAAAGCTTCGATTAATTCTGACATTGTGAACATCAGTCTCGAAGGCACAAATTTAGCATGGAGTCCTAATTTACATCTTCGTTTATTGCAATTCTGGGTGGAGTCCGAAGATTTCAGATCTATCATCACGAAAGAGATGAGTGCAACACGTATTGAAGGTGATAATAAATTATCGATATTTTATGCATTAATACTTATTAATTAATTGCGGTAGAATCTTATAATCCAATGTAATTATATTTACTATTTTTTTTTAGAAGTACACAAAAAGAAACGCATCCTGGACTTGCTAGCTACAGGCGGAATTACCGTCTCTATAGACATTTCTACCAAACATTTTTTGATATTGACGTCCGATCAACTGCGCTGGTCGCAGGGCGAATGGAGACTCAATTACGTTCGAGTCACTCTGGATATGGCTGATGTAATCATGATTGAGGGCTTTGAATTGATCCAGGTAGCCGATAACGCGGAAGTGCGGGTGGAGAGGCAGAGCAACGAGGGTTTCGTGCTGGATTGGAACGAGTGCTGGGCGCTGAATATTGATTCCATCAAAATCTGTTTTCCGTACGAGCATCAATTTACAAACGCGATACAGAATGAGCTGTTTAGCATCAGGAAGTGGCTGAAGGAGATTCACTCGTCGAACGCGCGTAAAGAAGAAACACTGCCCTGCGATTTGATTATCAAGATCAAAGAATGGACGCTCGAGCTCAGTGACGATCCGTTCGAGGTGCGTCTGCGCGACAATTATGAATTGTTGGAGGACGAGTATAAGGAGAGCTTGAAGCGACAGGCGATGCTGGACGCGAAAGTGCAGGAGCTCTGTCGTGCGCACTTACTGCTTCCGCAGGGGAAGGTCGAGGAACTGTATGCCAGTTTGAATAAGAAGAATGCGGAGATCTACGTACAGAGATGGAAGCAGATGCAACGGGCCGGTCCCGCGAGAACACGGCTGTTCGCGTGGACCATGCTGGATCTGGAAATATTAGCCCTAGCCGACCCGTCCGTAAACGGCACGGAGAAGGCGACGAGAGCTCTCAGAGAGATGGACTCGGAAACACCTTGGCCTGAGGATGGTCTGGAATTCAGCACGTTGTGGGTCCGCGGAATCAGCCTGAAGTGCGCCGAGTGGAAGCTGCAACTTCGCGACTTCCCGCAGCCGCTGCTTTTGGTAGAGAGCTTGAACGTATGGGGCAGACTGGCCGGGGCGGAGGCCCTGGCGCCGCTCAGAGCGAAGAGGACCGTCCGAATCGAAATCGGCGCTCCGTGGGAGGATATCGTTGTGGAGAGAGGTATGACATCCTTGAAGTACTATCACGATCTTAATTGGGACATCGACAAGTTTAGATACGCGTTCGGGCCGTGCTGGGAGCCGGTGATAGCGCAGTGCAACCTCAGTTTCGAGAAGATCCTCCATCCGTCGAGAGACCCGAGTCCGCCGTTGCCGTTCTGGGACAGAATGCGACTGGCTCTTCACGGCAGAGTAACGCTCTGCGTGAAGCAGCTGACGGTGTTGCTGCACGGCTCTCTGGATCCGTACAACACGACGGAGGAGATGGAGCTCACGTGGACCGGGCTGGAGCTCGACTGGACGCAGGGGAAGATCATCATCAAAGGCGACCTTGACGTGTACGTGCGCACGGCTAGCAAATACGATGACTGCCGATTGCTGCATCTACCCAACGTTAGATTGAGCGTCAAACTGGCGTGGGTGTGTCTGGGCGATCCGCGTGATCATCATACTGCTATTCCCTGCGCCCCGGATCGATTGCCGGAGTATTCCAGTAATCAAGAGCACGATTCGTTCCGAGCTTTCCGCTCGCAAAATGTCAACGTCAGCCTCGCGCTGGAGACCAAGCCGACCGGCTCGCCTACGCTGGCTAGCGCGCCCACGGCGCTGCTTTACGGCAGTACGTTGAGATGGTTCGAGAATCTCAAGCTAATACTGTCGGGAGCGACGAGACCTACGAGAAAGGGCCCGTTGTTCAAGAATATCCGACCCAGGAAGAAACAGTTGAGCAGACACTACCGGAAGGTACGGCTGACTCTGGCCTTCCATCGTTTCCACGTCAACTACTGGATGTCGTTCGCCATGCAGCGGGGCTTCGAGGTGACCGGCGGTCGTGTAGCCTGCAGCTCGGAGCACAATCTGGCCTTGCATCCGATCGACGACGGGCTGATTCATCGACCGCGAGCGGAATGGTCCATCGTGTATATGAATTGCGAGCTGAGCGACGCGGAGATCTGGTTGAAGAGCGCGCTGCAGGAGGACGAGATGGAGAGCGCGTCGTTACGCCAGCCGGTCGAGAAGTGTTACTGCTTGAGCGTGGCGCGCGTTAGCTACGGCAGAGAGGCGATGGTCGCCGGCGTGAGCGGCGACACGCCGATCCATCGGCTGGTCGTGCACGATCTGCGAGGCGCTTGGACGAAGACCAATCGCGACGTTGCATTTGCGCTCTTCGACTCCTTCATCAAGACCCAGCAGCTCAAGAAGAACCTGTCGACCGCGGCGCTTAAGGGCTTTCATCGTGACAACAGCTCGACGCCGCACAAGAATCGCACGACCGCCAGACCGTCCGTCGGCGATCAACAGAACACACCCACCCAGGTGACACCGTCGTCGTCCGCTGTGGTGAAGCCGCAGCAAGGTGAAGCGGCGGGGATGCTGCAGAGGTTGATAGCAGAGGCCACGAATAAACCCGTAGCCTTCAGCGACGATCTGTCGGTGCAGACTAGAGGGCAACAGTTGCGTGGTCTAGCAGCGTGCCATCAGGACGACGTCTTGCACAAGAACTGGCTAAGTATGTAACCTTTTTGTCTCCTCGTTATTCATGAACATTAGAAAATGACGATTTGTATGAACTATATCTTCTTTGCCGATGGAAAGAACTACAGCTAAGTAAACAAAATATTTTTCAGTCGCTTTGGTAAACAGCCAAGTGCTGTTGAAGGGCATCGAAACGCGCGGCTACGTGATCCTTTCGGCAGCCAAGGCGGAGATACTGCAAAGGGTACATCATCCAGTTTGGAAAGAACGCTCTCTCGTTCCGAAAACTACCTGGGTCGGCTCGTTGGAGACCATGCAGTACTACGCTACCGTGAGCGCGAACATCGATGACAATATCGATGATAATATCATGTGGCTGACATTGGATAATATACAGGTATGTTTGTTGGAGCGAATAGAAAAATATCATCTGCAGTGAACAATATATTGTACAATGTATCGTAAAATTGTTTTAGGAGAAAGATTCTACCATCATAGCCGGTTTGCCGGACGTCCCGGCTTTGGTAGGATCCGGCCAGAGCGTCGGCGGAGTGGTCAGTCAAACGGTGGGGGGCGGTGGCGGTCCTCAGCATCAATTGCAGCGCATAGTGTCCCGGTGCAAGTGCGAGTTCTCTACGTCGGTTACGGTCAGACCTTGGACGTCGGTTGCTTAAACCAAGTGCCGCCACCGCTGAGAGAGGAGGTCAGTCCGTGGGAAAGGAAAGACTTAACCGCAGCCGACGCGTTCACATTGATGCATCACGATCTGGATGTGTGCACCAACTCGTTGCAGTACGCAATGATATTAGACATAGTCAACAATTTGCTGCTGTACGTGGAGCCGAGACGGAAGGAAGCCTCGGAGAGGTTGCAGCGGATGAGATTCCAGTTGCAGCTGCACTCCGTCGACGACCAGAAGAGGCCGATACAGCAATTGCAGAACACAGTGCGCGGCTTGGTGGCAAAATTGCGGCGATTGGAGCGCGAGACGTATTTGGTGCAGAAAGCGCTGGCCGACGAATCGAGTCCGGAATTACTAACGGAGATGGAGCGTTTGGAGGCGGGCGTTTTCGAGTGCAAGGAACAGCTCAGCGCCAGAGCGGAGGAGCTGGACGTCATGCTGAGTTGCTACAAGGAAACCACCGCGCCGGCCGCCGCGTCGACCACGTTGAAGGACAAACCGGCCGCGGTGGCCAGAGTGGCGGAGATTTGCTTCAAACATGCACAATGGAGGCTGACGGATGCGGACGGTCAGCTGGGTATCGCGGATCTTATTCTAACTAATTTTCTTTACACAAAAACGAGCAAGACCGACGACTCGGTGGAGCATCTGCTGGAGCTGGGATACGTTCGAATGACAAATTTATTGCCGAATCAAATTTATACAGAAGTATTAGTGCCCACGGAGCTGCAGAGTAATATGCCTGTTGATCGGCAGAGAGCTCTTCGAGTCTTCTGCAGGGAAAAGGCACCGGTGGCGGGGATATCTGTGAAGGAACACTTTGAGATCAATGTAGTTCCTCTTACGATAGGTGAAAAAAAAACGAATATATAACCTTTATATATCATATTGAACAAAGTGATTTTACGTTTCTTTCTTCTTTTTTAGGTCTGACGAAAAAGTTTTTTAACACTATGCTCAAGTTCTGTTTCCCTGAAAGGGATCCGGAAGGCATAGAGGAAGCGCCAGCACCGCAACGTGATTCATCTTTTTACGTACCCATCGAAAGGAGAGATGATGTGGAAAAAATGAAGGAAAGAGCGGACAAGAACAAATTGTTTATATATATTAAGATACCGGAAGTACCCGTTCGCGTGTCTTACAAGGTAAGGATCTATAAGTTGAAAAAACTAAGACACTCTTCTTGTTACAGTCATTCGCAATTTATTTCTTAAACTCTAACGTTACTTTCGCAGGGAAACAAGGAAAAGAATCTTGAGGATGTACGCGACTTTGCGCTAGTCATACCGACCTTAGAGTATCACAATGTCACATGGACGTGGCTCGATCTGCTTTTAGCTATGAAAAGTGATTCCAGACGCGTAATACTGAGTCAGGCAATCAAACAAAAATTACAAATAAAACCGAGGGGCCCGCCCGAGGAGTCCACGCCGCAGGAAGAGGACAAGGCTCGTCTTTTGTTAGGCACCAGGCATCTTCCTGGGGACGCGAGAAAAAAGAGCGTTTTCAAATTTAAATAATTATACATCACGCGCCTTATGTATTCTAGTAATTTATTATGGCATGAATAAACATTATGTACAGGCTTTTGTTCGTCTTCGTTGTGTAACAAATACATTGTATAAATAAATCTTATGTAATATACATCTCTTCTTGAAGCATTGCAATGTCTCTATGTTTTCTGAATTGCAATTAAAATAAGAGTGTAATGTTAATACAGATAATTTCTGAAAGGCTGTGTTTGTAACTTATTCTATTGTTATTTGTAGCTGGTATTTTTTATAATATACTGTTAGTAAAAGTAATCTCATTATGGCAATTATATTGAAATTGAACCTATAGTTTAAAATATAAAGAATTAAAAACTTACAGTCTAAAATCACAAAAATTATGCTTCGCAAAATCTATCTTCAACTAAATAAATTAATTTTATCTCTTTACATATATACATATATAAAATTACTTTGTGCTGACTATAAAAAGTCCGAGTGATACAAGCTATCTTGTTGAACCCTGCTAATGGATTGCATTAGCATTAAAATTGTTCAAGTATTTACAAACTATGTACAAAGCTACAGAGTTATTAGAGGCGCTTCGGTAGTCTTCTTCGCGTGTCTCCATGCATTCAGATCCGTCAAGATTCGTCTGCCGTATGCTGTATGGAGCTCACGGAAAGTTATTCTAGTTCTAGCTACATTCTCTGTCCTGGCAGGCGCTGATCTGACGCTCTGGGAACGATGATGAGAGTCTGGTCTGTTAAATGGATTATGCCGTTGTCTTGGTGGTGCCTTCGGCGATTGCACTGGTGTGACTGCTGTTTCTTCCTCTACAGCGTCCAACTGACGTTGCAGCTCTGTCACCATAAGCTTCATGTAATCATAACTGGCGCATGCCAATGCCTTCATCCATTGTTCCATAGATTCCTGCATATTATTATTTATTAAGCACAATTATTAAGCTCAAATTTATATATATAATGTATTATTAATATCTACCTGAGATTCTGCTGCCAAGGCATAACTTCTGTTGTTTGGTCCATGAAAAACTATTTTGAAGCCAAACTGCTCTTCATCCTCCGCTAGCTCGATTGTACAACCTTCGAGCACGATCATGCCCACCGGCTCTTTGTCACCGCGACGGTCGAAATAGAATAATATATTTCCTTTAAGAACAAACCATCGCCTTTGATATCCACGATTCATTTCGCCGCGTTTATTCAACCAGCCTTCACGGTCCACCGGTGTTGCAGAGGTTGCAAATGCCACCATGTTTTTCTCATTAATTTTCATGGTGTTTTAACGGCAAATTTTCGTTTGATTTTTCGATAATTTGCAACCTGATATACGTCAAACTTCGTCGTTGATTTAAATCAGTTTAAGATGAATTTTTTCAGATTATGCTGTATAGGTGCGCCTTCTTCTCTTATCAATTTAATATTGCAATTAAATGTATAAAGGTATATGTTTTTATGTTAATGATAAGAGCATTGAAAATTGATACTGATAGACAGGACTCGCGATATCATCATATTATTTGAGGTTATATGTTATGATTATTTTATCCGTAAGAGATCAAAAGAAATATTGCAAGGGCTTTATTATCGTTCTTATGTACTGCAATATAGCTCATGTTATGTAATGCATGAATCTTATATCACATAATAAAATGACAATCCCATCATACGCGTTCTGTATATACATATATAAAATGTCACCTATGAGATAAGACTGCATTTAACTGCATAAACCACAAGATACAATTTGGCGCGTTCCCAAATTCATCAAAAAAACGTTGAACTTTTGCTGCTGAGTTTTCATTAGTAGCGATAATAATACAACGATTTAGCTTTAAAAGAGAGATTTGATTAGTCTTGATCTAGAAATATGCACCAATCATTGATCGTTATTTAACGCTTGCACAATGCTTGTTTCCAGAACATGAGCATTCCTTTCTTTCATAGTTCTATACACATCGGAAGAAAATCGAAGCCATTGCCAGCCATTGTTGGTTATTGCGTTTTTCGACAAAGTTAAGATATGTGAAAAGTATAAAGCGTTGTCGTAAAAGCAGAAGTGAATTAATTATAAGCGACAATTATGTCGTGGTAGTAGAATGGAATAGGAATTGTTTGACGAACATTGTGAAAAAGGGTACGTATATCTCCGTTATCTAAATACCGGCTGACACCGGTGTGTAGATATTAATTTTCCACGCGTCGCACACAATCGGACATATTATAGAATTTCGTATTAAAATTTGCTTTCAACATAATTAGTGCATTTTACACAGTTATATCTTAAAATTGAGAATTGATCTAAAAAATATTTTATCACATTGTAGTCTAAAGAGCGGGAGAAATCGATGTGAGCATACAGCAGGGAAAATTAATTAAAAATTTTATTTTGCATTTCAGTTAAGAAACATTTGTAGTCATGTCTCTTCCACCGTATTTGCTGGGCCCCAATCCATGGGCTACAATGATGGCCCAGCAACAAGCCCAGATAGCAGCCGCCCAAGCGCATGCACAGGCTGCAGCTCATGCTCAAGCAGCACATCATGCTCATATGCAGGCTATAACTGGGCCACCATTGCCTCAAGTGCCTAAACAACCGGAAGTCTTGTCTGAAGATAAACTTCAAGAAAAGGGTAAGAGAATTGTTATCCTGTATTATTTATACTTAACTAATAACAATATTAATTGTAATATTAATTGTTTTAGCACAAAAATGGCAGCAGTTACAATCAAAACGGTTTGCAGAGAAGAGGAAATTTGGCTTTGTAGATGCTCAGAAGGAGGATATGCCAGCCGAACACATAAGAAAGATTATCAGAGATCACGGTGATATGAGCAGTAGAAAATACCGACACGACAAGCGTGTTTATTTGGGGTAAGTTGTCGTTCAAGTCGATGCACAATTGAATTTGCTATAAATGTATCTGTTGTAGGGCACTGAAGTACATGCCACACGCTGTTATGAAACTGTTAGAAAATATGCCTATGCCATGGGAACAAATAAGGGATGTAAAAGTCTTATATCACATTACGGGAGCCATTACATTTGTGAATGAAATACCTTGGGTTATAGAACCTGTATACATTGCGCAATGGGGGTGAGATACAAAGACGCTCTTTATGTGAAAGCCAGAAATTGTGCAGATTTCAAGTTTTAATTTTCTTCCAGTACTATGTGGATTATGATGAGAAGGGAAAAAAGGGATCGTAGACATTTCAAGAGAATGAGATTTCCGCCCTTTGATGACGAAGAACCTCCTTTGGATTACGCTGATAACGTTTTGGATGTTGAACCTTTAGAGGCCATACAAATTGAACTCGATTCGGAAGAAGACGAATCTGTCGCTTCATGGTTTTATGAACACAAACCGTTAGTCGGAACAAAGTAAGTTGATCCACATTCGAATTTTATACAAAAGTATTTGTCTTTTGAGTATTCTTTAATGATGAAAAGCGTAGGGGTCCTGAAATCAACTGTACTGTGAGTTGACAACTTGAATAGTTGTGTATTGTTGCGATTGATGATGCAAGCTGTTCAAGTTGGAAAACTGCTACTCTGAAAGAATACTTTTAGGAATATTATTTATCCACTGCACGCATAATGTGGAATCTAATTCATAAAACATATTTCAGACACGTTAATGGATCTACATATCGGAAATGGAATCTGACACTACCACAAATGGCTACTTTGTACCGCTTGGCTAATCAGTTGTTGACTGACTTGGTAGATCAAAATTTTTTTTATCTATTTGACCCTAAGTCATTTTTCACTGCAAAAGCTTTGAATATGGCTATTCCTGGAGGACCGAAATTTGAACCGCTAGTAAAGGACTCGAATGCCGCTGATGAAGATTGGAACGAGTTTAATGACATAAATAAAATCATCATTAGGCAGCCTATCAGAACAGAATACAGGATTGCCTTTCCTTATCTGTACAATAATATGCCTCACTTTGTGCATCTTTCATGGTAAGGCACGATTTATATAGTTAAATTTTGTATCATTAAATTTATTTTCCACACTAGTTTTGAGATCTGTTTGTTAATATGAAATGGTCTTACTAGAAGTGTGGCAGAGGAAATATAGTGATTGTTATTCGTATCTTTTGTGAAGATTATAGAAAGAAACCGCTGATATCACTTACAAGACTCATATTATCTTTTAATATAAAAGTATTTTATGTTTTATATTGTCTATTAAACAGATATTTTACAGGTATCATGCACCAAATGTTGTGTATATAAAAACTGAAGATCCAGATTTACCTGCGTTCTACTTCGATCCATTAATCAATCCAATCTCTCATCGAAATTCTTTAAAGGTAATAGTAAAAATGATAAAGATAAGGTAATAAAACAATTCTTTAATTCTTTAAGGCAGCGAAGACAGTAAATTCCTTAGAATAGTTTTTATATTGTTCAATTGTTATTGCAGACAATAGAGCCACAAATTGAAGACGACGAAGACTTTGTTCTACCTGGCGATGTGCAACCGTTTCTTCAAGAGATACCTCTCTATACTGATAACACAGCGAATGGAATAGCTCTTTTATGGGCGCCAAGACCGTTTAACACGCGTTCCGGCAGAACGAGGAGGGCCATCGACATTCCGTTGGTCAAGTCGTGGTATAGAGAACACTGTCCACCCGGTCAACCCGTGAAAGTACGAGTCAGTTATCAGAAACTGCTGAAATATTTCGTACTGAACGCTTTGAAACACAGGCCGCCGAAGCCGCAGAAGAAACGATACCTATTCCGCTCCTTCAAGTCGACCAAATTTTTCCAAACGACAACGATAGATTGGGTGGAAGCCGGTCTACAGGTGTGCCGTCAGGGATACAACATGTTAAATCTACTTATACATCGAAAAAATCTCAATTATCTTCACCTGGATTACAACTTCAATTTGAAGCCCGTCAAGACGCTCACGACGAAAGAGAGAAAGAAGTCGCGTTTCGGTAACGCCTTTCATCTATGTCGAGAGATTCTTCGCTTAACTAAACTCATTATCGATTCCCACGTTCAGTATCGGCTCAACAACGTGGACGCTTTCCAACTCGCCGACGGACTGCAGTACATTTTCGCGCATGTTGGCCAATTGACCGGAATGTATCGATACAAGTACAAATTGATGCGGCAAATTAGGATGTGCAAGGACTTGAAGCATCTGATTTATTATCGTTTCAATACTGGACCGGTCGGTAAAGGCCCTGGTTGCGGATTCTGGGCGCCCGGTTGGCGCGTTTGGCTGTTCTTTATGAGAGGCATCACTCCATTGCTGGAAAGATGGCTGGGTAATTTACTATCGAGACAATTCGAAGGTCGTCATTCGAAAGGTGTAGCAAAGACAGTAACAAAGCAGCGAGTTGAGTCGCACTTTGATCTAGAATTACGAGCGTCTGTGATGCACGATATAGTGGACATGATGCCCGAAGGAATAAAACAAAACAAAGCGCGGACGATTCTTCAACATCTGAGCGAGGCGTGGCGCTGTTGGAAGGCGAATATCCCGTGGAAGGTGCCGGGTCTGCCAATTCCGATCGAGAACATGATATTGCGTTACGTCAAGATGAAGGCTGACTGGTGGACGAATACGGCTCATTACAATCGAGAGAGAATACGGCGTGGGGCAACGGTAGACAAGACTGTGTGCAAGAAGAATCTTGGTCGCTTAACGCGCCTTTATCTGAAGGCCGAACAGGAGAGACAGCATAATTATTTAAAAGACGGCCCGTACATATCGCCGGAGGAAGCCGTAGCCATATTTACCACGTCGGTGCATTGGCTGGAGTCTCGAAGATTCGCGCCAATACCGTTCCCTCCATTGTCGTACAAACATGACACGAAGCTGTTGATATTAGCTTTGGAACGCTTGAAAGAGGCGTACAGCGTTAAATCTAGGTTAAATCAAAGTCAACGTGAAGAATTAGGATTGATAGAACAGGCGTATGATAATCCGCACGAGGCGTTATCCAGAATCAAACGACATCTGCTCACGCAGAGAGCCTTCAAGGAAGTCGGCATCGAGTTCATGGATCTTTACAGTCACTTGATTCCCGTGTACGACGTGGAGCCGCTCGAGAAGATTACGGATGCCTATTTAGACCAGTATCTGTGGTACGAAGCTGACAAAAGGCGATTGTTCCCACCTTGGGTGAAGCCGGCCGACACAGAACCGCCGCCGTTACTCGTCTACAAATGGTGTCAAGGTATTAACAATCTGCAGGACGTGTGGGACGTGAGCGAGGGCGAATGCAACGTACTGCTGGAATCGAAATTCGAGAAGCTGTACGAGAAGATCGATCTCACGCTGCTCAACAGACTGCTGCGCCTGATAGTTGATCACAATATCGCCGATTACATGACGGCGAAGAACAACGTTGTCATTAATTATAAGGATATGAATCACACCAACAGTTATGGCATTATCAGGGGACTGCAATTCGCATCTTTCATCGCCCAGTATTACGGATTGGTGTTGGACTTGCTGGTGTTGGGTCTTCAGCGAGCCAGCGAGATGGCCGGCCCGCCGCAAATGCCGAATGATTTCTTAACGTTCCAGGACGTCGCTTCCGAGATAGCGCATCCTATTCGATTGTACTGCCGCTACGTCGACAGGATACATCTGTTCTTGCGCTTCTCCGCCGACGAAGCGAGAGATCTCATCCAGCGTTATCTCACCGAACATCCCGATCCGAACAACGAGAATATCGTTGGCTACAACAATAAGAAGTGCTGGCCGCGGGACGCCCGTATGAGACTGATGAAGCACGACGTGAACCTGGGTCGCGCCGTTTTCTGGGACATCAAGAATCGGCTGCCGCGTTCAACCACCACTATCCAATGGGAGAACAGCTTCGTCAGCGTCTACAGCAAGGACAATCCCAATTTGTTATTCAACATGAGCGGGTTTGAATGTAGAATCTTGCCTAAGTGCAGAACGACTCACGAAGAATTCACGCATCGGGACGGTGTCTGGAATCTCCAGAACGAGATCACGAAAGAGAGAACAGCGCAGTGCTTCTTGCGCGTCGACGACGAGAGCCTGCAGCGCTTCCACAATCGAGTCAGGCAGATTCTCATGGCCTCGGGCTCGACTACATTCACGAAAATTGTCAATAAATGGAACACCGCGCTGATAGGTTTGATGACTTACTTCAGGGAAGCCGTGGTGAACACGCAAGAGTTGCTGGATTTGTTGGTCAAATGCGAGAACAAAATACAGACGCGTATCAAGATCGGATTGAACTCCAAGATGCCGTCGCGTTTTCCGCCCGTCGTATTTTACACGCCCAAGGAATTGGGCGGCCTGGGAATGCTCTCCATGGGTCACGTGTTAATACCGCAATCCGATTTAAGATGGTCGAAGCAGACCGACGTCGGGATCACTCACTTCCGTTCGGGCATGAGTCACGATGAGGATCAGCTGATTCCAAATTTGTACCGTTACATACAGCCCTGGGAGTCGGAATTTATCGACTCGCAGCGCGTCTGGGCGGAGTACGCTTTGAAGCGACAGGAAGCCAATGCTCAGAATCGCAGACTCACTCTGGAGGATCTCGAGGACAGCTGGGATCGCGGTATCCCCAGAATAAACACGCTGTTTCAGAAGGACCGGCACACGCTGGCGTACGACAAGGGGTGGCGCATTCGCACGGAATTCAAGCAGTATCAGGTGCTGAAGCAGAATCCGTTCTGGTGGACTCATCAGCGTCACGACGGCAAGCTGTGGAACTTGAACAATTATCGAACCGACATGATCCAGGCGCTCGGCGGCGTCGAAGGCATCCTCGAGCACACTCTCTTCAAGGGCACTTACTTCCCGACGTGGGAGGGTCTTTTCTGGGAGAAGGCGTCCGGCTTCGAGGAGTCCATGAAATACAAAAAGCTAACGAACGCGCAACGCTCCGGACTTAACCAGATTCCTAATCGGCGATTCACTCTCTGGTGGTCGCCCACTATTAATCGCGCCAACGTTTACGTTGGTTTCCAGGTGCAACTCGATTTAACGGGCATATTTATGCACGGCAAAATACCGACCCTGAAGATCTCGCTGATCCAGATATTCCGCGCTCACTTGTGGCAGAAGGTACACGAATCCATTGTGATGGATCTCTGTCAGGTATTCGATCAGGAATTGGACGCGCTTGAGATCGAGACCGTGCAGAAGGAGACTATACATCCGCGAAAGTCCTACAAAATGAACTCCTCGTGCGCCGACATCCTGCTGTTCTCCGCCTACAAATGGAACGTGTCCCGACCATCGCTTCTCGCCGATTCCAAGGACGTGATGGACAACACGACCACGCAGAAATATTGGATCGACGTACAGTTGCGATGGGGCGACTACGATTCGCACGACATCGAACGGTATGCTCGCGCCAAGTTCTTAGACTACACTACAGACAACATGTCGATCTATCCGTCGCCCACCGGTCTCTTAATAGCCATCGATCTCGCGTACAACCTGCACAGCGCTTACGGCAATTGGTTCCCCGGCTGCAAACCGCTCATACAGCAAGCCATGGCGAAGATCATGAAGGCGAATCCGGCTCTGTATGTGTTACGAGAACGTATTCGTAAAGCTTTGCAACTATACTCGTCCGAACCCACGGAGCCTTATCTGTCCTCGCAGAACTACGGCGAGCTCTTCTCCAATCAGATCATATGGTTCGTCGACGACACGAATGTGTATCGCGTGACGATTCACAAAACTTTCGAGGGTAACTTGACGACGAAGCCGATCAACGGCGCCATTTTCATCTTCAATCCACGCACGGGACAGCTCTTCCTGAAGATTATTCACACTTCCGTCTGGGCCGGTCAGAAGCGTCTCGGCCAACTGGCCAAGTGGAAGACTGCCGAAGAGGTTGCCGCGTTGATTCGCTCCTTGCCGGTGGAGGAACAGCCGAAGCAAATCATCGTCACCAGAAAAGGAATGTTGGATCCGTTGGAAGTGCACTTGCTGGACTTCCCTAACATTGTCATCAAAGGATCCGAATTACAATTACCGTTCCAGGCGTGTCTCAAGGTAGAGAAGTTTGGTGATCTGATTCTGAAGGCGACCGAACCGCAGATGGTACTGTTTAATCTTTACGACGACTGGCTGAAGACCATTTCGTCTTACACCGCGTTCTCGCGGCTAATTCTGATCCTGCGCGCTCTACATGTCAACACCGAGAGAACTAAGGTCGTGCTGAAGCCTGACAAGACCACCATTACCGAGCCGCATCACATATGGCCGTCGTTAACAGACGACGAGTGGATCAAGGTGGAGGTGCAGCTGAAAGATTTAATTTTGGCGGATTACGGCAAGAAGAACAACGTCAATGTCGCGTCGCTTACGCAATCCGAAATCCGCGACATCATCCTGGGTATGGAGATAAGCGCGCCGTCCGCCCAACGTCAACAGATTGCCGAGATTGAGAAGCAGACGAAAGAGCAGAGTCAGCTCACCGCCACCACCACGCGAACAGTGAACAAGCACGGTGATGAGATCATCACCGCGACCACGTCCAACTATGAGACGCAGACATTCAGCTCGAAGACCGAGTGGCGTGTGCGCGCCATCTCCGCGACGAATCTTCATCTCAGAACGAATCACATTTATGTCTCGTCCGACGACATCAAGGAGACTGGCTACACTTACATTCTGCCGAAGAACGTGCTGAAAAAATTCGTCACAATCTCCGATCTGCGTGCGCAGATCGCCGGTTATCTGTACGGCATCAGTCCACCTGACAATCCTCAGGTAATTGTTTAATGAATCTTGTGCATCTCATCTTGATGCAATTTATCTTTTATGAATTTTTTTCAAAATTTTGTATTTTAAATATTCTTTTTTATATATTCTAATTTTGTTTGATATGTGACAGGTGAAAGAAATCAGGTGCATTGTAATGGCGCCGCAATGGGGAACCCATCAGACAGTCCACTTACCAAACTCACTTCCTAATCATCAGTACTTAAAAGAAATGGAACCACTGGGATGGATACACACACAGCCTAACGAGTTGCCTCAACTGTCACCGCAGGACATATCCACTCACGCTCGAGTTATGGCTGAGAATTCTATCTGGGACGGCGAGAAGACTATCGTTATCACTTGCAGTTTCACGCCCGGTTCCTGTTCCCTCACGGCGTACAAACTGACTCCAAGTGGCTTCGAATGGGGCAAGCAGAATACTGATAAAGGCAATAATCCAAAGGGTTACCTGCCGAGTCACTACGAGAAGGTGCAGATGCTTCTATCTGACCGTTTCCTCGGCTTCTTCATGGTGCCCAGTCAAGGTTCGTGGAACTACAATTTTATGGGCGTGAGGCACGATCCCAACATGAAGTATGAACTGCAATTGGCGAATCCGAAAGAGTTCTATCACGAGGTGCACAGGCCAGCGCACTTCCTCAATTTCTCGAGCTTGGAAGACGGCGACGGTGTTGGAGCTGATCGGGAAGACATGTTTGCATAAACTAAACTATTATAATAATTTTTGAATGCTAGTGATTTTAATAAAAGTGCAGAACACGTATAAGCAGCGATACCAACAGCGAAAGTGTTGTAATGTTCTTTATCTTTTTGTTTCTCATGTAACCATGGCATACGTAAATCAATATATATATATATATATGTATATGTAATATATTTTTTATATTTTTAGCATACATAGTAACAAAAACATAGATAGAAAATTTACATGGGCTCTAAGAAGCCCCCCTGCGTTGCTGAATATAAATTTATCAAAGCATTACATCGAGATGTATGCACATAAAAGTATTGGATTAAATTAATCATCTTTCATTATTGTTTGATGTATTTAAATGATATAAATGTTTTTATTGCTTTAAAGTGTAAAATAATTCAATATTTGATATAAAACGTTTAGGAATGGTGAGTAGCGAAATAAAAATTATATATGACAAGTAACTTTATGGTACCAAGTGGATCACATTGAAATTATGCACAAGTGCATCTCACTGAAAGCTTTATTATTATATTTAAGACATGAGAGAGGGAGAAACGTTTAAAAAACTATTCATTTTTCTAAACCTAAAGAAATTTAATATATTCTATTAAAAAAAAAAAATTTATAATTGCATTAAAAAACAAAATTAAAAATAATAAAAGTAATTACAAATAATATATAAAAAAATTCTTAAAAAATTTAAATTCGTAAGTGCTACCACACACACACACATAAAGAACCACCGACAATGAGAAGAGGAGATCCAAGAAGCAAGTATTTTGTTTTCTTCGTTTCTTATCTTTAAAAATATATAATTTTTTTCTTTCATAAACATTTAGAAAATTTTCCTTTACATCGATCGTACATAAATTCATGAATCAGATCAAATACTGTCTTTCAAATCATCTTTGATATGATAATACACTGTGCAATGCTCTACATTGCCTGTACATGTGTAACTAAAATTTATTACAAAGGAATGTGTTATATAAAAGAGGAAAAATAATATATCAGCAAGTATTGAGAAATTTAGAATTTTATTTATATTATGTTTGTAAATCGTGTTATATATTGTGATTAAACAAAGCAAAAGAGGAAAAAAACAAAATATTTTTGGATGATATAATTTTATCGTATTTGCAAAAACTTGTGATAGTCTACAACTTTTCGAATGTAGAACCTGTAAATGTATTTAGTAACAATTCTTATAAACAATGTAGTTTACGTAGTTCAATACAGGTTGTAAGTGTTCTCCCTCTTTTGTTTCTGTACATTTGGCAAGTTCAGCAGTTTTTTTACAAGTATTTTTTTGTAGACACAACTTATTTTTTCTTTTTTGCAGTAGTTGCAATTTTTTATAATAGTTGTTTTTATAAACGATTTATTCTTTTTCGTGGCAGTAACGATTCTTTGTAACTATCTTTGGTAGCTAATTTTAATTTTTTCTTTTATTTTTTTGACGGTACGGTAGCATTTTTTTTTTTACTACGGTAGCGATATTTTTTTTGACAGTATGTAGCGCCATTTTTCTTTTACGGCACGTAGCAATATTTTTTTTTGAACAGTACGGTAGCGCTATTTTTTTTTTACAGTACGATAACGAATTTTTTTTGACAGTACGATAGCGCAATTTTTTTGACGGTACGGTAGCAATATTTTTTTTGACGGTACGGTAGACGGTAACTTTTTTGCATTTTTTATACAATTTTTTGTAGCTAACCTTTTTTTTTTTAAATTTTTTCTTTTATTTTTTTTTGACGGTATGGTCTGCAGCAATTTTTTTGTAATTTTTTGTATTTTTTATAATTTTTTTAGAAGTTTTTTATACGGTAAGATACGGTAGCATGGGACACAGTAAAGTAGTTTACAGTCTTTTCACGGTAGCAATTTTTTGTCATTTTTGACAAAAATTTCTTTAACAACAGCTTTTATCAATAGTTTGTTTTCATTTTTGCAATTTTTTAGTTTCATTATTATTTTTGAAGTTTTTTACACGGTAGCTCCTTTTATAAACGGTAACTTATTTTTGTTTTTCGTAATTGTCAACAGCTTTTTTTTTTTTTCAAATTGTTTCTTATAATTTTTTGCTTTTATAATTTTTTTAGAAGTTTTTTATACGGTAACTCTTTTTATAAACGGTAACTTATTTTTGTTTTTCGTAATTGTCGACAGTTTATTTTTTTTCAAATTTTCTTGTAATTTTTTTGTTTTTATAATTTTTTTTAGAAGTTTTTTGTACGGTAGCTCTTTTTATAAACAGTAATTTTTTTTATAGACCACTTATTTGTTTTTTTTTTGCATTGTCGGTAGCTTATTTTTTTCTTTGTTTCCAGTTTTTTTTTGCGAATTTTGATAAATTTTTTTTAGGATACACTTTCACTGTTTTTAATCTATTACATGGCCTTATATAATTTTAATAAGGATTGGTTTTCTCTTGTACTTTATTATGTGACAGCTTCTACAGTCGAATAGTTTCAAATGAGATATTTCAATTTTTTGCTCTTATAATTTTTTAAAAGTTTTTTCTCTTAAATATTTTGATAATCCTTTCAAGTCCTAATGTTATAGCATCCCAAAAGTTTTCATAAAAATTGATAATCATTTTATTTATTCGTTACAAATGTTGGAAAGTATCTTGTAATCCACGCTCTCGACGCTTGAGTCATCTGCATACAATTCGGCTGGCAGTATATGCTCGCAAATACTTTCTTGGAAAGTGCTGCATAAAGAGACGGTATCCTCTTGAAAAAAATCTTCCGTATTTTGTCACAGGTTTTTATTCATAGATCCACTTCTCAGATGTTGGTGTATAATCGATGACTTCCTTTTGACCGAACCACAGATCGATCTCCTTCTTGGCTGATTCGACAGAGTCGGAACCATGGATGACGTTACGGCCGATTGCTACACAGTAGTCACCACGGATTGTGCCAGGTGCGGAATCTCTTGGATTTGTCTCGCCCAACATTACGCGTCCGGTCTTTACAACGTTCAAACCTTCCCAGACCTGAAATAGTGAAATGGTTTCATAAGGTAATTAATTAATATGTTACAAATTTTTCAGCAGTGATTTGTTTGCTTTTTGAAAATTGAATCAATTATATTAGCATTGTTAATTGTTACACGAAAAACTTACCATTGGTACAACTGGTCCTGATGTGCTCATATAGTTGACTAAAGTCGAGAAGAAGGGTTTTGATGACAGATCAGCATAATGTTTCTTCATATGTTCTTCCGTAGGCTATAATATAAAACATATGTAAATTAAAAATATTTTTGAGAGCTTCAAAGCTCAATTTTTCATATTTATATTAAATTTATATTAGAAGTAAAATTATTTGAATTTTTTAAAATAAATTACTGTAATGAGGATCAGGCATCTTAAATTCTATTATACTTTCAAGATAACTTCTCTCAACATAAGAAAATTATAAATTATATTACAAATTAATTATAAATTATATGTTACAAATTCAATTCGCATTTGCATTTTTACACTTGTTACTCGTCACATTTATATATGTTTAATTGTTGGATAAATTTCTGACTTTTAGTAATAAGATTTTTGTAATTCTACATATATATCTTTGCTAGTTGATTCAACTGATAACCATAGTGCATAAAAATGTAAAATAAATGTAAGTAAAGCTAAATCCTCTTGTCGATATATCGGCTTTATCATACTATAAAAAAAATTTGCGGATACTAAAAGAGTTAAACGATAAGCAACAAACAAACCAATAAATCATAAGTTAAGTATTTTCTAAAAATCAAATTCCAAGAACGTTTATTCGTTTTATTTGTCACACTCTAAGCCGATATATCGGCTTTATATCATAAAAAAAATTTGCGGATACTAAAAGGGTTAAACGATAAGCAACAAACAAATCAATAAGTCATAAGTTGAGTATTTTCTAAAAATCAAATTCCAAGAACGTTTGTTCGATTTATTTGTTACTGAAATGTTGTTGTTTAGGTTTACTTTTATCTTAGTTTTGTTTTCGACATATCGAATAACACGAGATAAGCACGTATTCTGTACGTTTTATTGTGCATAACTATTATCATAAACATATTACGTTACGTCACTTCCACGTACTTCATATAAAGACCACTACAACGTTAATACGATTTGTTCCGTATCATATATTGATTATTGGACTTGAAAGACACCTACACCTTGCACCTATGATTGTTGAATTCAATTATGCATTCTCAAATATCACGAATTAAATTCGATTACACGAGACGCCATTACTTCGACATCTGCTTGTTGAATGTACTTTGTTCTCGCCGGTGTTGGAAACAAAAAATGAAACAATTGGAATCCAATACTGTACCTTTCTATATATTGATATATAGCATAGTTGACGTAATATTTTTATTAAAGATTTGATTTCAGACAATTATATATCCACGTATTTTTCATTTTAAACGAGCATAAAGAGATGAAATCACGTGCAAACAGCATACTTACCCACACCATCTTCATGGCCACCAATTTGAAGCCCTTCTCTTCGAATCGCTGGATAATTTTGCCGATCAGACCGCGTTGCACGCCGTCCGGCTTGATCATGATGAAAGTGCGTTCTTTGTCTCCCATAATTAATGTGCAAATAAACTGTAGTAAGGCTGAGATGGTGCACACGACCATACGATGCCGACGATCTGGGAAGGAGTGAGGACGAGACAACGGGAAGCCGTGGCAAATAGAAGTCGGTTTCGGCGAAAGGGGGGAGAGCGGTGCCGTGACGTCGCAATGTGCCGGTCGCCGAATTTCAAGATGGTAGAAGGTCCATAGACGTAGCAAGTATAGACTGCTTCTCCATCTCTACGCCTAATGGCTCTTGCACACAGGACGCGGTAACGCTTGCCGCGCGACAAGAAGCGACGCGGTAGCCAATCAATCTTTCGCTCTTATGGAAAAATTGTCAGTCGATTAGCTATCGCGTTGTCTTTTACCGCGCGCAAGTGTTGCCGTGTCCTGTCAGCAAGAGCCTTGAGCCTGTAAACCACGCTTAAGCTATGAAAGCCACGTATTTATTCCTTGAAATAAACAATTAAAATTATGCAAAACAACACTGTAGAAGTTTTTTATCTGTTCTTTCAATATCATAACTTATCAATCTGTTATGATAAATCTTGACAATCGTCTCATTATTACCGGCGAACGTTGTCGACAGTTGACAAACATCAAAATTGATCACGATGTGATGGAAGTAGTTATAATTAATCAGTGATGATGATAAAAGACAGATTAGAAGCGTATAGACGCAAGAAACAAAAAGAGAAGATGATGAAGTCCATAAAGAGCGTTGTAAGAAATATTTTTTCGTGGAACCGCAATGATGGAATCAAGAAATCTGTCGAAGAATCAACGAAAGAAGAAGAGGTGAGGTTATATTTCCAAATTTTATAGTTTTTTTCGAATTGTTTAATCCTTTGATTTTTTGATACATACATCTATTTTATATGAATATAAAAAGATCAATGTCGCATGAAATCAAGAAAGAAGAGAGAACAGCTATATATAGTTTTTGTTGCATTTAGGTTAAATTGTGTGAACAATCACAGAATGATATCGAGGACGTGGAAAATGCTTCGTCTGAGGATAACGTACAGGAATCGAAAAGTACACTTATGACTAAACTAATTTATTTATTATATTTCTTGCTATGGGCAATATTGTATGTGATCGCAGTGGAGTATGAATTTGGTGCTGTTTATTTTGTACTGTCGGCTTTGGTCTTTATCTGCTTGAATACTAGGTCTGGACCAAAGCAACGAGATGAACCCAGTGCCTATTCTGTTTTTAATCCTAATTGCGAAGCTATAGAAGGAACACTCGATGCGTCACAATTTGAGAGAGAAATACGATATGGAGGTATACGATAAGTTAAGGTAAATCAATAAAATTTGAATCTATATTTTGTATTAAATTGTTATTTCGTGTATTTTAATATATATCTTATTATAGTTGAACCCAAATTATGGGATAAATTCAGTTTAAAATACATAATGTACATTCCAAGTTATATAGTTTTATAGTTTGAAATAGCAAATGCAAAATTTTATAACTTTAAAAAATATTAAGCGTGATACATAAAGCATATAAGATATTTATATTATATTGAATTACTTTTGTACTTAACACTTATTGTTAGATATAAATAGAATTGTACATAGAAATATATATTTTATTTTACATCATCCATTGAGAGATAAGACAATAAGTGTAAAATGGCAATGCAAAGCAAAGCAAGTGTCAAATAATTTTTTATAACACCAACGATTTAAGATTTAATAATTTGAAATGGCTCAATTTGTATGATGTTAACGTTTTGCCGCCACTATTTTGCATATAAAAACAATTAAAATATAAATGTTGAAAAATTGTGACAACGAGCATATACTTTGTAACAATTGTGAACAAACAAACATATATTTTTAGATATTTTATACGTTCTTTCTTAGAAATTTTTCTTGCTTTTATATTTCCCAGGTGTAATCATTTTTCATATATATGTCAGTTTTATAGTGTTCTACGCTTCCTACCTTTCGACATCCCACTTCCAGCCTCTTCTATCCTCCCATTCACCCGGTTGTAGATTCCTTTCCGACATGGCCCTGTGTATTCCGCCCATCCAAGTTGATTTGGGTCTTCCTCTTCTTTCCATAGGTGTCCATTTTAATATCAATTTTGGGAGTCGTTCATCGTTTATCCTTTCTACATGGCCATGCCAAGTTAGCTGTCGTCTCTGTATTTCGTCTATTATAATCGTTTTCACCTTCATCATTTCTCTGATTCGGTTGTTTGTCACTCTTTCCACTCTTGACTTCCTGGCTGCTCTTCTCCAGAAATCCATTTCTAATGCTAGGAGACGTCGTTCTACGTTTTTGTTTATTTGCCAAGTTTCGCATCCATATAGCAGTATACTTTTAAAGATTGATTATATAGTAGGTGTTTCCTTTCGCGTGATATGTTTTTGGACCACAATTCAGGCTTCCTATGACCTTTTTACCTTTTAGAATTCTCTGTTCAATCTCCTGTTCTGTCCGTCCTGTATTGTCGATTTGTCTTCCTAAGTATGTATATTACACAAGTTCCTGTTGTTTCATTTTCGCCCATGGTTTTGACCCAGGTTTTTCTATCTGATGCATAAGGTCTGTATTCTTATATCTGTAAACTATTTTCTGTATTTTAAAGTAGAACCAGTAAACTTGCATGACGTTCTGGTAACATTTTGTCATCTCATCGAGATAATTTAATAAGTTGCTAGTAGACTGAAGTGATAATTCGTGAAACGTTGTTAGATCGGTTCTGGAATGTGCATTTTCGTCGGAGCATAAAAACATTTTGTCCACGTTAAAAATCAGATCATTCCATACTTTTACATCGAGTGGCCTGCAATATATTGTCACACTGATATAATTCTATAATTTTGTATGTTTATATTCTGAGATAATTTTTATCAAATTTAGTGATACACAAACACATGTAACAGCGTTATTTGTTCCCCGAATGTGGACAATTTTACAGAATGTAGACAACTTTAAGTTTGCTAATTAGTTACTGATTTGCTGATTTTATACATTTAAAAAATGCATTTGAAAGTAGAGATTTGGAGCTTTAAAATGTTTTTTTGAAAAAGTTTACGATTTTTTGTTACAAAGTTATAGCCGTTTAAAAATTCTTTTTTTTAATCAAAGTCAAGTGATTCCTTAATTTTTTTGAGAAGTGTATATTATACTTACTTATCCTTATTGATCCTTTTTGCCTCAGTATTAAAATATTTTACTATATAGAGTAATGGTCTTAATCTGCTCTGTAGTTTCTCTAAAAGAACAATGTTTCATATAATTTTCAAGCTCCTTAAATTCCTTCTTGGAAAAGCATAAGATAAAAAATACTTTTTGCGTTTTTCAACTTGTCACTGTCGATTGATTCCAACATTCTGTTAACGGTTTCATTAAAATACTTCGGTTCCCATTGAATAACTATACTTTCAGACAGCCACCATACAGTTTTATAAACCATCTGCGCCAGAGTTACGCTGCGTGATCGCAAACTTTGATTATGATGCGTTTGGTTGAGTGCAAAATCACTCTTGTTGTGTATAAAACCAAAAAATAAAATTAGAGAAATTATAATCGGACGAAAATATAAATATTAGTATATTTGATTTAAAAAAATCTAATGTATAGAGTGGCAACATATCTTATTTAAGATTGCTCTAAATTAATTAATTGTTTCTGTTAAATAAAAAGCGGAAATCATAATACAGGCACTTAATCTAAGACAATTTATATATGAATATATATGAATGACAATTTATATATTTACGTATGAAAATGTCACTTGTGGCATATCTAGGAGAAGACGAGGACCGAAATTTTCATATTCAAGATACGTCCAGTTATTGTCAGGAATTGTTTTGATGGCTTCGACGGCTATAGATCGCATAATATCTGATCCTGATAAAACTACGTCACCATCAGCTGAAATCACGAATAATTCTCTATGTTAGATTTATAATATTATATAAACTTCGAATTTATCAGAATTCCAACAAAACCTTGCAGAAAAGAACCGTGCACGGCTACGTAAGCTACATTTCGCTTCATAAATGCAGGCAGAGTCTGTGGACAAACATCCGAGGATACGAGAGACACACAGAAGACTATACTTCGTCGTGGCAGCCAATTGGTCGTAGAATAAATTCTGTCTAAGATCTGCATTAATTCCAAAGCTATAGCGATACCATCTTCGTTAACGGACAATATAATAAATGTATCTGAAACAATTCGATAAGATAAATAGATGAAATTCTGTAGGAAGTTAAATCGTGAAGAGAGAACAAATTTATTTAGGAGTCAATATAAAAAAAAATGTTTAAATTTCATCCAAATAAATCTAATGTTAATTCTTGACTTACTTGAGAGACTCACCTGGTTCTTCTACACCGTAGCTGATTGCGCGAACGCATGATGTATGATTGGTCGTTTCATCAATAATTGATAAATTAGAAAAAAATTCACTGATGCGTTGCATATTAGATTCCAGTGAGTCCGGCATCTCCCAATTTCTAATTACAAATAATTCAATTATTATAACAAAGCATTAATAAAGGTTTTCTAATTGTATGTTGGAAATTTTTTAGCGACCTTCAGTCTGGTGTTGGAATCATATTTCGTAAATGTGGAAGAAAATAGACGACATACATCACATGACTGTAGTTGAACGACGCTCTCTCCAACTCTTGAAGCGCCTGTTGCTGATAATCCTTCGTCTTCTGCAGACCATTTCCCTCTTGAGATGTGTCTAATTCGGCACGTCTTTCCAGTTCTTGAAGCTTCTGCGATCTCTCGACGACGAAGCGGCATAACATGAAACCGCAGAACAGACAGAGGAAACCCATTGAGAAAAGGGTCGAAAAGCACAATCGTTTCGTCACGTATTTACTGGACTCGCCGCTATCGCGAGTCATTTGAAAGCTCAGGACTCGCTGCATCTTCACAAGTATTTTCTTAAGTGTATTACTGGTACTTTTTTCCCAAGATTTTCCTTGTATAAAATCCGCGTGTAGATATAGATTATTAATAGATTATAGAAATAATGAACCAATTGTTTGAATGTCTACAAAATATTGAAAATGTGATATAGTTTTGTTAAACAAATTTAACAACATTTATATTTTTATGAAGTATTTCAATATGCAAACATTTTAATTATTCGACGAATCGCGAAAACAATTTGTTTCTATTAATTGAATTAATGAAGAATCACAAATGCAATGTCCACTTTGGAATAACACTGATTTGATAATACTATAATTATTGAACCGCTAACAATTAATTATCGATGATTTCATGTAAGTACGCGTCCACTCAAACCACACTTCTGTCTACTTGCAGAAAACTGTTCTGTCTCGCAGGAAAATTGCGCGCGAGTTCAATCGTATTAACGGTAGTCTGCTCTGTTTCCGTCTTCTTCGTCGTCAAATTGCGTGGGACATCGAGCAGATATATGACGGTCCTTCGTTTTTCGACGTCTCATTAATTTTATTCCCGCGACAGAAACGCGCGATAGTGCTCTCCTCTTCACGTCCATTCGGAAAATAGGGAAGCGAAGGGAATAAAAAAAAATGTAAATAGTATACAGGGTGTGGTAAGAAAAATACGATACTTGCTTTTTAATTAAAGATGCATTTTGTTCGGTTATAATTTCCAGAATTCAATTTCGAATTAAAAATTTATCAAATTATTTATTCTCATTATTAAATGGCGAATAAATGTAGACAGTAATTTTTTAATGTAATAAAAAATATTTTAAGTGATTTATCGCAAGTTTACTCCTAAAAGGATAATCATCTTAATTACTAACATTTTTTAAATTGCGCGTATTTTCAAATTTGAAACAACTATATTTTATAAATTCGCTAAAAAAATATAACAAAATATTACGCGTTCTTTTTCAGACACTGCATACGTCGACGTCAAGAGTGTGGACGTTGCGTGTTGTTGAGTAATTTATTTCGAGCAACAATACGATGGTGGTGTTTCATTTATAAATAGTTTTGGATGTATTACGTGCACGTGCAAGGTTGTTCCAACTATAGAGCTTCCATGCGGACTTTTGAAACATGAATTTTTCATTAATATATTAAAGTTTATCATTTATAAAATTATAGACGCGTTAATTACAGTGCGTTTTATCATTATATATATATATATATATATATATATATATAATTATTGTCTAAATAAAAATAAAATATTTAACTACAGATGTAAAGTGTAATTGTGGAAGATATAAGAATCTTAATAGAAATTAATTTTTAATTTGAAATAATTTTTTACTTTTGAAAATTAAATCGCTCATATCACAAATTACATTCAAATTTGAGGAAGAAATAATTCCGACTTTGCAAAATGATGAAGTCACCTTGTGATTATTCCGCTCTAAATTATTTGGTCATCATTTACTTTTTATACTTATAAAGTTTTATATTGGAATGTTTTTTACACATATGTACGTATACAATAGATGATTGTCTAATAACGATCAAGACATACATTCTCCTCACTCTCAAGCATTCTTAAATATCACAAATTATGGAAATAATTTATCTTAAAAACCGAAAACTTTTCGATCAAATTCAGATCAAACTCGGCGAAACTAATCAGACTTGACTCGAGTTTTGCAAATGCCCACACATTCCTAATTTCGAGCGCTCATGATTTCTGAGATAACGTTTCTGGCCGAAACTGATGCCGCACTGTTGACACGTGTACGGTTTTTCGTCGGAGTGAATGCGCTTGTGCCTGGTCAAGTCGTTTTTCACACCGAAACCCTTGCCGCACACATCGCACGTGTGATTTTTTTCGCCGGTGTGCACCGTCAGGTGACCCAGCATCCGTTGTTTCCAGCGGAATCTCTTGGAGCAATAGATGCACTTATGTGGAAGCTCGTCGGTGTGCGTTTTGCTGTGTATGTAAAGGGATGCTTTGGTCTTGAACGTCTTGCCGCACGAGTCACAGACGTACGGTCGTTCGCCGGTGTGGATGCGCCGGTGGTCCTCCATAGCGGTCTTCATGGCGAAGCTGCGGCCGCATATATCGCAGGCGTGATTCTTCACACCGTCGTGCATGTGCTTCAAGTGATAATATAGACTGCCGTTTTGAAAGTATTGCTTTCCGCAAATGTGGCATATGTACGATTTCCCCCCCGAATGCTTGCGCACGTGGGCCCAGTAGCTTTTCCGCGAGCGAAATTTCTTATTACACACCTTGCAGATCATCATCAGATTGGTGGATGCGGCTTTCTCGGATTTAGACTGTTTAATATCTTCCTCCAGACACGCGTCGGATTCGCGTACTTCGACTACACGTTCCTCCTGCGCGTCCTTTTCTTTTGTGCAACTTGTGTGCGTCTTCCTGGCAGAAGCTTTGTCTTTCGGATCTTTGTTTTTCTTCTCATTGTTTGTTGATTTTGCCGATAAACGCGGCACTTTGGAAAATGTATTACTTGTGCGAGACGAATGTTTCGTTAATATACAAGCGGTATTGTTTGTAGAAGAAAAATCATTTTTTAGATTTTCGTCAACCACATTGTAAATTTTTGTTCGGATCGAACTGATTTTATTTCTGCATTCTTCTACAAGTATCTTGTGCGCTTTCCAAGAATATATATGATGGGTGGTCGGTCGAGAATTAATTTTCCTGCAAATATAAAAAGTTTAGCGTCAAACAATTATTATGAAAAATTATATATTGTAAATTAATCCTTTGCGGAGCGCGTTAAACATTGGATACCCTACTGGTTTTTTAAACTTATTGTTAGTAAATTTTTAAACCAAGTCTAAGTGATATTAATACAATTGAATCTGAGTTTTGAACTTCTATTAAAATACTATTTCAATTTTACTTCTTTCATATCATCATTTTCATGTTATATTCTTTGCGCGTGCAAATTTCTTTGAATCACACTATTGTACATGCGTTACGTAAACGCTGGAAAGACGTGAAATTTGGATTTTAAGCATACACTTTGGAGCAACATCGCCGCGTGCAACTTGTCGCATTCCGTGGCGTCGAGTTTAACACTTGTACAATGTTCTACGTCTCGTCTGGATAAACAAAACTCTGTTCGAAAGCAAATAACGATTCTCACATTATGTTTGTTTGTGCACAATCCCGTGCACGCTACCGCAATGTTTTTTCAAATAACGCTCCTGGCTGAATCCGGCGCTGCAAATCTCGCAAATGTGCGACCGCTGATCGGTATGAGTGCGTCGATGTCGAACGACGCATCCTCTGCTGCGAAAACGCTCGTTGCAAACGTCGCAAGCATACGGCTTTCGATCAGAGTGCCAGGACAGGTGCTTTTCTAATTCCTGCTTCCTCCTGAAAGCTCGTTCGCACAAGTCGCAACGATGCGGCAAGATTTGGGAGTGACAGAGCCGATGGACGTGCAGGGATGCCTTTTGTTTGAAAGATTTGCCGCAGGTTTCGCACCGGTAAGGCCTCTCGCCGGTGTGCGTGCGTCTGTGCTCGTCTCTCGACGCCTTTGAGGCAAGACGGCGACCGCACACGTCGCAGGCGAAGTTCTTGATGCCATCGTGAACGTTGTGCACGTGCCTATTCAGACCAGACGCTGATCGGAAATTCTTGTCGCAAGTGGGACAGATGTAGGGTCGCGCGCCAGTGTGAATGTTCTGGTGGATCAGCAGATTATACGAAGTGGAAAGAATTTTTCCACATTCCTTGCACTTGTAAACGATGCAACCGTTGTTATCCGTCACCTTCGAGCGAGTTGATTCAACGTCTTGTTCCGATGTTTTTTTCAACTGTCTTGCATTTTGTCGGGAATCCACCGTGAGGTTCTTTTGAAGTTTCTGCTTTTTCTCAAATATGTGAGAAGCTGTCGGCTGATTTCGTCGTAATTTTTCGCTAAAGTCATCAAAATGAGTTGATGATAAACATTTCTTCGCCGATCGAGTTTTTTTGACATCAACGCATCCCTCCACATTAATATCCTTTCGCGAGTTTCTTCGAGCGTGATTTGTCGACTCATCGTTTGGCACTCGGTCTGTCCCTCTGAAAAAAAGAGTCAGTCAGTTACTTCGGTAGCGCTCGGCCGAGTTGTACAGCGCGGTGTATTACGAAAATCTGAGTAGTGCTTCTTTTAAAGACAGTAAAGGTAGCGTGCATCGCCATCGCGCTCTATTCTCCTGACACGCAGCATGCTCTTCGTGATGTGCGACGTTCTTGTTTCCTTGTTGATTCTTTTCTTGGCAAATCTTTAGCTTCTTGCAAACAATGTCAAGTCTTTTTTCAGTATCAAGAGCCATGGAACAGCAAATCAAAGGCAGCAGGTTTGAATCGGTTTCTTCGCAGACGTGATGACCAGGATCTATAATGTCTACATAGAGAGAGAGAGAGAGAGAGAGAGAGAGAGAAAAATATTGAAAGTTCTTGTTTTTAAACTCGCCCCTTATCATATCGCTTCATAAAGACTCGTTATGTCGGCTCTTAATATGATTATTCAAGTAGCGCTTCTGCCGAAAGGCGAGGCCGCACTTGCCGCAGACAAATGGCTTATCTTCGGAGTGTATAAGCTTGTGTCGCGCCAGTTCGGATTTGACTCGAAACTTCTTGCCGCATACATCACACGCGTGATTCTTCTCACCCGTATGCGTGGTCACGTGAGCCAGCACTTCCTGCCGTCGACGGAATTGCTTGCTGCAGTACGAGCACGCGTGCGGGAACTCATCGGTGTGTAGTTTACTGTGAATGTAGAGCGACGCCTTGGACTTGAAGGTCTTGCCGCACGAATCACAAACGTACGGTCGTTCGCCGGTATGGGTACGCCGGTGGTCCTCCCGCGTGGCCTTGGACGCGAAAGACCGGCCGCACAAGTCGCACATAAAGTTCTTCAGCTTCGCGTGCACGTCCTTCAAGTGCCTGGTCAGTCCGCCGGAGTCGCGGAATTGCTTGCCGCACACGTGGCAGGTGAACGGTCGCTCGTCTTTGTGTATCCTCATGTGTCGATGAAACGAGTCTTTCAGTTTGAAGCACTTGCTGCATTCGTCGCACCGAAATAATTCCTCTTTGTGCGACGCTTTGCTGGTCTCGCACGGATCTGCATCGCCCTTTTCGTTACCGGGTGAGCATGGTGAGTTCTTGAGAATTTCGTCTATTTGATTTTTCCCCTCGTGCATCGTCTGGTGAGACTCGTACTCGATATCTCTTACAGATTGTTGCGCCGCGACATGATTCTCTTTCGCCGCAGCGGACAATCTCAACGGATCGTTATTCTCAAGCTGTTCTGTCATCGCGGGCGGTTGATCGAGCACCGTGTCCGTGATCCAGACGGAATCGCAGTCCTCAGCCGTCATCGTCTTTGGCTTTTTCAGGTTGCGCATCGTTCTCGATTGACATCGTTTCCTGTATGGCTTCCAAAATGCATTCTGCGTGTCCAGGGACACTTTAAACGGTGTCCGGACGCCGCAAGACCTGCAAAATAGCCGAAACTTGACTCCAGGTTTTTGCAGTTGCGCAGTGGCACGGCGCAGTGGACGACTGTCCGTTTCGAACTGGTTTTTCAACGGTGCTTGTTTTTCTGGGTAATTCTAAAGTCAATCTTCGATCGTTTTTTCGGGTATATCGTCTTTCTCTTTCTATGCTTTGCTCGGAATTTTTCGCTAAGTCGTCGTAAAAATTTGCGTGTCCAACATTATGTGTCGGAAAAATATTTTTCTTTTAGGAAATAATTCATGAGAATGATTCATCAAGTCATTATTCATTATAGCGCGTATTACGATTGTTTGTCTGTATTCAGCGTCGAACTGACCGATTGTATCTCTATCTTTTTGTAAGACACAAGAAAAACATTTAACACGCACAATGGCATTTACATTTTGTACTCATATTCTATAATAAACGCTATATAAATGTTTACAATCGTAACGATTATAAACAAAATTATGTTTACATAAATGAAGAATAAGCATTGCAAATGAGAGAGAAAACTTCATACTTTTTTTATATATAGCTAACAATTTCTAGAATACAATTTACCTGTTAGATATATTTTCCTCAGCATCATTTCCTTCATTAACCTGCTGCTCGGGCTGCAATAAAAAGATACACAATTGAGTTTCTTGATTCAAGAAAATAATTTTTTAAATATTTATCATACTTACTTGTGAGTCTGTAGTATTAGATGCAATAGTCACGGTTGTTGTTGTAATTTCTAGATTATCTGAAGATGTAGGATTGCAATACTGCAAAATTGACAGAATATATAATTAGTATTTCTATTAAGTTCACCCCTGTCAAGCTGGCCCCCCCCCCTACAATAAAAAAACTAAAACTAGCGGAATTAAATATAATATATATAGTATATACTATATATATACTATACTACTACTACTACTAACTAACTACTAACTACTAACTAACTACGTACTACGTACTAACTAACGTAACGTAACTAACGTAACGTTAACGTTAACGTTAACGTAACTAACGTAACGTAACGTAACTAACGTACTAACTAACTAACGTAACTAACTAACTAACGTAACGTAACGTAACGTAACGTACGTACGTAACGTAACGTAACGTAACGTAACGTAACGTATAGTAGTAGTAGTAGTAGTAGTAGTAGTAGTAGTATATATATATATATATAATTTGCTTATTGGTTTTTTATTTGTGCAAGGTGGGGGAGAGGGGCAGCTCGACAGAAGTATTAAGTTCTTTTAAATTGCAATCAAATGGCAAGTATAACGAGAATTTTTATTTTATTTCACATAATTTAGAATGCAGTAAGAATATAGCCAACTTATTACAAATGAAGTTTCTTTAATAATGTATATATTTTACCTGATACTTATTTTGCAGGGCATCTTGCATTTCCAGTAATCTTTTCTCTGCATTTAGGCATCCTTCGCACAACTCATGCCAGGCTAGCAGTGTACCCGCACATTGAAAGCACAATTGCAATGGCAGGGTGTCAGTCTCAGATATCTGTGAAATAATTCGTAAATAAAACATTCATATTCGTCAAAATAGCGCTCAAACTAAACTTTAATGATTATTGTACCCACATGTATCGGCAAGTATTTGAGTATTTTATTAGACAAGTCATGTTGCACTCCCTCGCCTTCAAAAATAGGTATTATCTGATCGGTCGCGTTGGCACATATCCTACAAAGTTGCGTCCATGCAAGTGTTTCCTCTTTGTAAAGAGTTGACGTTTGCTCAACGTTCTCCTGAGAATACTGCTCGCTCTGAGTCTGCGACACGAGGAAAAAATCCCCTTCAGTCTCCGATTCGTTGCGTTCATCACTCGGCACTATACTTTTCACGGTCTCAGTCAACATAGTATCCTCGCTGGAGGATTCCAGCATTGTCGAATTCCCGAGTTCCATGTCGACAAAAACGACGACCACGTGTACGACGATTAACGTGACGTCCCTAGTACATCGGACAGCCTGTACATCGCACTCACAAAGCCATCAATTTGCATGATCTATGAAACTTCGTTTTTTAAGTGTAGCGTGGCGCACTCATAAAGGATATTTTATTGGAATTAAATACTTCATTGTGCAGTGCTGCTGGTACAATATTGATGGATGATAAAATAAATATTTGGCATACTCATAACTGATAAAATAGATACCTGACTTATCATCAATCGATACTTATTATTTTCCCGTCGGCAATCAATTAATTACAGTTGTCACGTCCCGGCGCGGTGGCGGTAACACGTAGTGTTCGCACCTTTACGCGAGACTCAATCGGTAAGATTCACGAACCAATGAAAAAGTAAAAGATCAGAAAAAGAACGTGAAACACAAATGTTGTGTTTAATATAAAAAATCGTAACCAAAATCCCTTTCTAATGGATAGCGAAATTAAATGAGAGATCGTAAGGGAAGCAGTATCGCATTGATATTTTGTTGCTCCTTACGCGAACAACGTGTATGACCAATAATTAGGACCGTATTCTAATGAATAATAAATTTAAATAATAAATCGTAAAGGAAAACAGTATCGCATTGATATTTTGTTGCTCCTTACGCAAACAACGTGTATGACCAATAATTACGACCGTATTCTAATGAATAATAAATTTAAATAATAAATCGTAAAGGAAACCAGTATCGCATCGATATTTTGTTGCGACTCTGCAAAATAACGTGTATAGTAATAATTAGGACCGTATTTTAATGAATAGTTAATTTAAATAGAGGCGAATAATGAATCCGAGTAAGACCACAAGAAAATGAATATGATAATAATGCAGCAACGTAGTAAGAAATAGTAATCAACCATTGTGACTGACATGTAATTATTTAAGTTTTATTATCATGCATTTGAAATGAAAGAATCGCTTAATACCATTAGAATGCATCAAGTATATGTTGACCGAAAATTTAAGAGAGTAACATTGGGTTTCGCTGATCATAAAAACTTTCTCCGTTATCAGCGAGATTTTGCATATAATTAAGGTACCTGTCTTCACATTCGTGACACTCGGAAATCGGTTGAATCAACGCGAGGTAGCGATGGCAAATAATGCAATGTAATCTTGGGCGGCGACGCCCGACGGATGCGTAATGCCTATCATTTAAAACTACGAATAAACTTTTATATTCAATCGGTTCGCTAGTGATGCATTCTTTGCAAAGACGCTCTTTTGCCGTAGGATTCACGAAGCTGGTTTCGCGAACGCAACTAGCTAAGGAGTACCTATAAAGATATTCCAATCGAGGCGACCGACAAGCGTAACGTTTCCCCACACACATATCAATTATTTAAAATTCGATTAATCAGACGGTTGATTTAATAAGCTGGTTATAACTAACGTACGTATTCCCGGGCCTCCGCCAAGTAGAACGCTGGTAGGATCGGGAAGATTAACAACACTTCGTCCTTCTCGAGTTAATTGAT